CATGAAGGCCTCTGGAAAAGTAAAGACGTCTCTCTCAGGCCTTTGCATATATTTCCCACCTCAATGCTAATATGAAGCTACCCCAACCATCAGTTTGAGCACTAGCAATAAGGAAGCTGAATACGATGTATCCAGTGCAATACAGTCCGTTACAACATTGGGGGGGGGGGGATTGTGGTCTATTTTGGAAAGCATGCAAAGAAAAGTTAAGAACCAGAGTACAGTGGAGTGTGCATTGACTCATACAGCAGTAAGCGCAGAACTAAAGAAGGTAGAGAAAAATGACAGACTAAAGTGACACACTCCAAGTAAAAACGGAAGTAGGTTTTGAAGCAAGTTTTACAAGACAAGTAGAAGCTGTAGAAGATGACAGTGTGAGAATAAATGTGCCCTGGGTTTTTGGAAGCTACCACATTGAAAACCAACTTGGTAGCGCCCGACGCTCTGCCGACCCGCACAGACCGTGAGTGTTCTCGGCCCCGGCCCAGGCCACCGTCTTCCGGACCCCGCACTCCGCCGCTACACGCTGGGCATGCCGGGGCCTGTAGTCTCTTCGGAGACCAATCCCCGCGCTCTCCTGGCATCACCTTCCGCCCACCGCCTTCCAGCAGCTAGGGGGACGAGCTGGGAACCCAATGAGGGAGCAATAACGTGGCAGCCACCCACAAGCCCGCCGGCCCCGCCCCCCGGGGGACTTACTACCTGGCGCCGAGGCGGAGGGGGGAAGCGGCGCCCTCCCCTGGCTCAGAGGCTGGGAGCAGCCCCGGGCCCCCCCGCTCCGTGGCCGCGCCGGCCCACGCCGCCGCGTCCCCACCCTCTTCCGGCCCTGGCTGCCCGGACCGCGTTCGCTCCTGCCGGTGGATGCTGCGCCTCTCGGAGCGGAATATGAAGGTGCTCTTCGCCGCCGCCCTCATCGTGGGCTCGGTCTTCTTCCTGCTGCTGCCAGGACCCTCTGTGGCGGATGAGAAGAAGAAGGGGCCTAAAGTCACCGTCAAGGTCCGTGCGCGCCTCTCCCGCCCTGCCTGGCGCGGCCTGCGCTCCGCCGCCTGGGTCCCGTCGCTGGCCAGTGGTTCCCGGAGCATTTAGGGCCCGGGAGTTCGACCCTTGGCTTCTAGTGTCTTTGTCCTTATGGCGTCTGTGCCATCCAGACCAAAGAATGATCCGGACCCTCCCCAAATCCCCAACCCCACCCTGACCCGGGGAGTTAACTGGAGCCGGGGATGCCCAGCTGCTGCCGCCACTGGAGCAGCCCTTTTGCATATAACCTTACGGTGCTGGAGAAATGGTGAAAGATCAAATCCGACGAATCCTTTCTCCTTGTAACATTTTAGCCACTTCCAGTTACAAAACACAGAGAAATTACAGCTTAAATTTACATGGTAAACTTGCAAGCCCCTTATGTGGCTTTCTTCTTTTTTATGTGAATATCTAGAATCTGGGCCCATTGTTTATTTAGAGTAAAGATTGGAGAGCATGGGGCGTGCAAACAAACACATTTTTCAAGAAGAGGGTTTGGAACTTCACAGGGTTTGGCCTCCACTGCTTTAAATGACTGCCTTCTCCCGTCCTCAGAAGAGCTTCTTGGGCCCTTCCTTACCAACCAAGGTCCTTTAAAGGGGCTAAATTTAAAATGGTTCTTTTTTTCTTAGGTGTATTTTGACCTTCGAATTGGAGATGAAGATGTAGGCCGGGTCGTCTTCGGTCTTTTCGGAAAGACTGTTCCAAAAACAGTGGATAATTTTGTGGCCTTAGCCACTGGAGAGGTAAGTGGCTGGTGCAGAAGTTGTCAACTCTTGCAGTAGGAATGGCAGCAGAATGCGGCCCATTTTTTTTCTCCCAGTACTGGGGATTGAACCCAAGAGTGGGCCACAGGAGTTATATTCCCAGCCCTTTTAAATTTTGAGATTGCGGGGGCCGTCTCATTAGGTTGCACAGGCTGTCCTCAAACTGTGTTTCTACAGCCTCCCAAGTTGCTGATAGTCACAGGCATGTGCCACCATATCCTGCTATAGGAGGTTTGTTTTTTGTTTTCATTTTTTTACAATACCAGGAATTGAACCCAGGGCCTGGCATATGCTAGGCAAGTGCTCTACCCACTGAGCTACATCCTTTGTCCTCATATTGCTGTATCTGTATTGTAAGAATAAGGAATGTTTTATCCTGGAATACTGCACAGTGTTTGAAGGCACAACCCCTTTAATGAAGTTTGTATTTCAACTTTGAGTTCAACTAGCAGATGACTTTTTTCCTTGGTCTCTGTTTCCTTCTATCTGATCTTGTGGTTAGAAGAAAAGAGGGGATAGGCATTCTATGAAATAGAATTGTATCAAGTCTGGCAACTGTACAAAGGCAGAGGAAGATGGAGTCTTGGCAGTTACTGGGTCTGTGCACTCTGGGTCTGGCCTACAGTTACTACTCACTCAGTAGCATGTTGAATGATAAATGTGGCCAATAATGGGGCCACTTCTGTGAGCAAGAATTGTGGGCTTGGTTCTTGCAGGGCTTATTTGATGTCTGCCTATATGATGTCTCATATCATCTCTTTACTTTCTCATTCCTTTTTTTAGAAAGGATTTGGATACAAAAACAGCAAATTCCATCGTGTGATCAAGGACTTCATGATTCAGGGTGGAGACTTCACGAGGGGAGATGGCACAGGAGGTAACCTCAAGTCTTCTGGGAAGAGGGATCTGTCAAGTTTATAGTTTCCCAGGTAGAAGGGTCAGGCTGTGCCAGACAAACAAAGTCCCTTCCTTCCCTAGCTCCAGGAGCAGGCCACTTAACTTGCATTGAGAACAGCTGCATCCTCTGCAAAGTGGACCAGTACAAAGGAGAGAGAGTGATGGGGGTTAGGTGGGCCTAAGAGGATCTTTTCCCTGTGCATACCTGCTGATACAGGCCTGTAGCCTGGTGACTTTTCTCCCCACCACGCCTCTATACTTTTGGAGTGGGGTAAGGAGGTGGCAGCAAAATGAAGACTTGTGGGGAGCATTTCCAGATCAGGTATGTACCACCTTGGAAGCCCCAGCAAGGGTGAGAGGTATTCTTTCCTTTGTGCTTTCCCACCAGAGATCTCTGCATTACCTCTTTGCACAGGACAGAAATACAGATACCCTGGACTAACCCATGGGTCTTACTATGCTTGGGGACCCATCCAGCTGTTCCCTCAGACCGCAGGGAAAGGGCTGAAGACATGAAGATCAGCAGGACATCAGCTCCCTTTTTGTACCTGAAAATTCCCAAGTGGGACATATACAGCTTTTAGGACTCAGACTCTGTCCTCAATTTGTTTGTCATTGTCTTTCTAGAAGAAACTCTGAAAGCTACATAGCAACATAAGATTTAAGTAAGACAGAAGGAACTCAATGCAGCAAGTGGATAACAGGGCACAAAGCGGGATAATATAAATTGTTTTTGTGAGTTAGACATGGTCATGTTTGATCCAATATCTGCCACCTTTTTACCTTGTGAGCTCAGGCCAATGACACCTTGGAGCTCCTGTTTCCTCTTCTGTAATGGGAGTGGGGAAGCATAGGGCTGGAAGAATTAGGTGAGATCCTGAGTGTTAAGTGCCTGGAGTGTGGTGAGTGCCCAGGAGGGTCAGCCATTGTTGAAGTATTGACAAACAGGAGGCACTGGATGCCAAGGTAATCAGGAAATGGCGTTGTGAACATGAGAGAAGATTTGAGCAAGGGTCCTAGGTGGATAGAGAAGAGGTAGGGATGAGGACTGAGTCCCACCCTGTTCTGTGGCAGGAGCTTGACAAAGGTGGGGTAGTAAAAATGGAATTAGAGCGTACATCGGGGTGCAGAGAGGTGTATTATGGCCAGGCACTTGGGCTTCGTGCTCTAAGGAGTGGGGACCTGCTAAAGGCTTGAATGGAAGCAATACCCATGCACAAAAGATTTGAGGGGAAATGATGTGACAGGATTTACTCTGTAGAGCCAAGAGCTAGCTGACTGCTGAGGAATTGGCACAGCTGTGCTCAGCAGGGTGGCTTGGGACCTAACCCTTGCAGATTATAGCCTAGTGGGTCAGAGCAGAAACTCCTTGGTTTGAATTCCAGCTTTGTGCTTCCTTTAACCTTTCAGCATCTTAGCTTCTTCATCTTTGAAACAGAGTTGTTATCCTGCCTCATGGGGTGGTTTGCTGTCAGATGCTTAGAGCAGTTTCTGGCACACCCTGTCCACACTCCAGGCATTGGCTGTTATTGCAGTGAGGGCTGCAGGGATGAAGAAAAGGATGAGTAAATGGGGGGTGGGGGGGGATAGAGACAGTATCAAGCAATGTGCACAGGAAAAATTTCCGAAGAATAAGTGATCTAGAGAGAAGGATGATGATGGATATTGGACCTAACCCTTTGAGTTTGGAATTCCTTGTATCTTAGGAAAGTGGCTGGAGATAAAGGATATAGATTTGGAGATTTTCTGGGTAGCAGCAATAATTGAAATCTTGCAGTTGGTTGAGACTTATAAAAAGGATCTTCAAGTGGGAACATCTCAGCCAGGAGTCACTGCAGGATTGTAGCAGTCTAGTCTCTGCCTGGTATGGGAGTGAGGGGTGGAAAACAGACCAAAACACTTCTTCTCCATCAGTTGGTCCAGTCATTCTTGGTTTGGGGTCTTCCTGGCTGCTACACAATCAGCAACATCTCCCTGGTCGGCCTTATCTAGGGCAGTTTTCAGCTGGTTCCATCATTTGGAACCACAGGACAAACACAGGTGCATTGAGAATAGAAACAGTTTGTCATGTACAAGTGAATCAAATGATATCAGGTCAAACAAGGAAAATGGCTTTTTTAATGCTGGGTTTCTCAAGACCTTGAGCCTGTAGATGCACAGTATGAATCTCCAAGAGTGACTGAGAGAAAGAGGGTTCCATTGTTTCTCCTGGAACCATCTTTGAAACTAGGGTCTCAAAACTGGTATATAGACTGTGGATCCAGTCCCTTTGTCATGTACCTGGCCCCAACCCCCATATGGACAGACACATGACACATATTCATAATTCATAAGCATCTTTTATTTTATGCTCATTTCATTGATAAGGAATTCTTTACTCTGCAGAACTCAAATGGCAGCCCTATCTTTTGCCTGCCCTGGTTCCTCCACACTCATCTCTGTCCTGTTTCTACTTTGCAACTATGTCTTTCCTGTCTTTTATTCTTAGGAAGACAAGTTGGTCAGCCACAACAGTCTTTTTCTAGAAAGTTCTGTTCACCAAAGGCTGTCCATGCAGGCCTGAGGTTACAGCCAAGGGTAGTTAATAATATGTGCCTTAGTTAAAAGCGTTAAAACGATCCTTACTGTACGCTGTGACCAGCCTGTCCTGATGCCTTGTTTGCTTTCAGTCTGCACGGTTTGGCTCTAGGCTAAGGGACAGGAAGGGGTCAGCTTTTATGTCTTTATGTACCTCTCTAGCCTGGACTTGTACAGAGGACTGGTTATACCCCTCAAATCCTCACCCGAAAGGTCTGCCTGGTTTAGGCAAACCCAGATCCCCCATCTTCTTTTCTTTTCTCAGGAAAGAGCATCTATGGTGAGCGCTTCCCCGATGAAAACTTCAAGCTGAAACATTATGGGCCTGGCTGGGTGAGCATGGCCAACGCGGGTAAAGACACCAACGGCTCCCAGTTCTTCATTACTACAGTCAAGACCGCCTGGCTAGATGGCAAACATGTTGTGTTTGGCAAAGTTTTAGAGGGCATGGTAAGTTCTGGAGGCAGGGGCTAAACCTGGACAGTTCTCACCATGGATTCAGCCCAAACCCTAGGGCAGGGGCTCCATGAATTTTATCTATTCACAAAAGACCCAACGCCGCAGATTCAGACCAGTGCTTGTGTCTGGAGAGAACATTCAAAAATAGGTAGCCTGGCCAGGCACCATGGTGCACACCTATAATCCCAGCTACTCAGAAGGCTGAGGCAGGAGGATCATGAGTTCAAAGCCAGCCTCGGCAACTTAGTGAGGTCCTAAGCAACTTAGCGAGACCCTGTCTCTAAATAAAACATAAAAATGGCCTGGGGATGTGGCTTGGTGGTTACGCACCCCTGGATTCAATCCCTAGAACCAATAATTAAATAAACCAAATAAATAAAAAAGATAAAACGGCCTGGCTGGGTGCTGGAGCACATAACTATAGTCCCAGCTACTTGGGAGGCTGAGAAGAGAAGATCACTGAGACTAAGAGTTTGAGGCCAGCCTAGGCAACATAGCAAGACTCCATTTCAACCAAAAAGAAGAGCACCTCTATCCCCCCACTGTTCTAAATCCCTCTAGGCCCTAGACAGGAGGCCTTGTAGAAGCTATTCAACTGCAGGATCACCCATTCCATCACTCAGGCAAGGTTGTGCAGACTCCCATCCTAAACTGTATAGGGTACAGCTGAACATAATGTCCCTGAGGAGTTACTTGGTACCTTGCTCCCTGGCCACTCCCTTCTTCCTCCTTATCCTTTGCCCAATATGGTCCTGAACAAAACTCTTGCATCCACTCATTGTCAAATCTATTCTTCCCACCCTGGCCTGGCACCCTAGCCATATATTCAGCAGAATTTTGGTGCCTCCAATGTTTATATGCTGTTGATCCCATATGGGTCTCAGCCCTCCTGAGGCCTGTTGCCCATTGGTAGACCTCATGACTATCCTGCCCTACTGTTACCACCTTTCTTTTTCAGGAGGTGGTGCGGAAGGTAGAGAGCACCAAGACAGACAGTCGGGACAAGCCCCTGAAAGATGTGATCATTGCAGACTGTGGCAAGATCGAGGTAGAGAAGCCCTTTGCCATCGCCAAGGAGTAGGGCCCCAGGGACCATATCCCTCTGAGCAACCCCCTGTGCAGGCCCTGTTGCCCTCACTAGGGAAAACGTAGCCCGGCACAGGGCTCCATGCTGCACTGGCCCTAGGGCCAGCATCTGATGGAGCGGACCCACTCCCCTCACATTCCACAGGCCCAGTTTTGTAACAAACTCAATGCTGACCAATTAAAAAAAAAGTGGTTTTTTTTTTTTGTTGTTGTTGTTGTTGTTTTTATAATCTGCGTGTGGGCTGGGTTCTTGAACCTGTACTACATTCCCCAAGTGTGCATCCCAACATGTCGAGGATCTCTTGTAGCTCTAAAGGTGCTTCCTTCCTCAGGCTCCTGCCTGAACCTGTACCTAGATACTACCCATAAAATACTGGCTTCTGAACTTTGCAGATCTATGTCTCAGCCTTTACTACCCTTGCCATCTTCTGGTCTAGGTTAAGAAATACAGCTACAACTGTTACCTTCTCAGTCTACTCCAAATTGACTCCTCTCTTTATTCCTCAACTCCATGGACTTGCCTTGGCCCCTAGGCTCTAAGAGCACCTGAATTCTACCACCCCAGCTGCCAGTGCAAGCTGAGTTTAAGAGTAGTTAAGTCCTAGGTCTAGTCCAAAGGAGAATCCAGCCCTAGTTCTTATATGAAATTCAGGACAGGCACATGACTCCTGACAGGTGGCCCAAAGTCTTCTGGGCTGATCAAGGCATAGGTGGCAGAGGAGCTGGGTAACAGTCCAGTGTTGCCTGGGCTGATGCTGGGCTGGTACTGAATCCATAGAGGCCCTGGAGCACACCGTTCACCACCACATCTGGCAGAAGCTCTAGGATAAAAATAAAATGGTGGAGGGTGGGGAGTGGTGTGAGATGGGCCCGTCCTCAGGTCTGCGGCTTCTTAAGTTTTTCTTTTTCTTTCTTTCTTTCTTTCTTTTTTTTTTTTTGTCACAGCTTGTGGCTCTTGGGAATAGAGCCCTTGCCAAGGTGGCAGATATCAGCTGTCCACCCAAATGAGGCATTGGCATTCCCTGGCCACAATCTGTTTACACCACACATCAGCTTGGTAAAACCAGGCCACTGGGGAATGCAGACTCAGGGAGCTAAGCTTATTTCACTAGTGTCTGCAAAGCAGGCTACAGGGTTAGAGGAGCAGCAGGTAGTGGCTCCAAAGAGATATCTGAGGGAGGTGCTGCCTGGAGGTCCCAGGAGCAGAGAAATAGTAGGCCCACACCCACCCGGCCCTGGTACCCAAGCCCTAAATCTAAATGCACACCATGGGTCAGGCACCTCCTAACCTGGAGAAGGAGTGGAAATGTATGGATCCATGCAAAAGCTGATGACAGGCCGGTGGTGCAGCTGTGAGCTGGGAAGAAAGGGTCATGAGCTGTGGCGGATGGAGAGAAGGCAGGGCAAAATCCCATATGGAGTGGAGACTAAGGACTGAGATCACCAAAGACCCACAAAGGAAAAGGTGAGTAGGAAATGGATTCTGGAGGCATCAGCAGGGAAAACCTGGACCACAGGGACAGGACTGGCCCCAGGCTGCAGGCCCACCTCCTACTATGCAGCCACCAGGGGGCAGCAGGAGGTAGGCAGGCCAGGGCTTTGACTTGTCTGCTGTCCCTAAGCAGGAATTCCCCCAGGGTGCTGAAAAGAAGAGAGAGACTGTAAGCTGCCTGGGGATGGCTGGGAGGTGAGGGTGGGGTGGAGACAGCCCAGAACTTCAGTCCCTGGGGACCACTGCTTCTATTTGTAACAAGCCAGTTCCGGAGGTAGAGGTAGCTGGTGTAATGAAGGCTGTCCAAAAAACAGCCCCTCCACCAGGGTCAAGAAAGCTGATAAGGGAGGTCATGTCTCCCAGAGACAGAACCAGGCAAGCCAGGGCCTGGAAGATGTGAGAAGAAAGAGGGCTAACCCTGAAAAACTTTCCTCGCTTGCTGCCAAGAGTCCCTGCCCTCCCTGAACACTGGCCCTCCTTACCCCCAGCTACTGGTCTTGGGGTCACTGGGGAAGTGGCGGAGTCTCAGGAATTCCAGTAACTCCTTGGGCACATCCTGGTTCAGGTACAGGATGCCCTAGAAAGGAGGACAGAGGAAACCATAATTAGACCCAGCTACTAATTTACACAGCCCAGTGCAAATGAAAATGTGAGACACTTAGTTCCAAGTAAGAAGTTCAAGGCGGTGAGAGCAGAACAAGACTCTTTTGAGTGCTGGGCCCTGTATGATTGCACAGGTTAGGGCCCAGTCTGCAGTCACACATCACTGTTGTGGGCAAGAACCTCCACTGGTACTGCACCATAAGGGTGCCTCAGAATTTACCCTGGAAAGGAAGGGAACTAGCTTTCATTGAGTTGGGACTACCTGCCCTCTGCTTGCCTCACTCAATCCTTTCAACAATCCAGTGAGGAATACTGGAACTCAGGACTGTTCAGAAAATTGAGGCTGGGGTAGTGAACAACCCCCAAGTTGTGAGAGCCCTCCCATATCACTGTTTTCTATCTGGGTCACACCCCTTGTCCAGCAGGCTGGGGGCAAAAGAATATGCCCCTCGCACACCTGGATATAGGCCTCCAAGCCCTGCCGGCGCTGTTCCAATCCTCTGGTCCTCCAGTTGGGCAGGCGTTTCGATGGGAAGTCAGGCACTTTGTACAGTTTCTTGATCTGCCGGGAGGTTACAGAGGCGCCATCACGTATCCCAACAGAGCCCCTTAAACCCACTTGAGCCTAGACAAGAGTCCTCTCTGGACCCCTCTCCAGGCCCTACCCTAGTGAGTGGTGATTGGGACAGGGGTGAGGGTCGCCTGTAAGCCGGGTGGGCACACAGGGATAAGGTCAGTGTGAGCTGGAATCGGCCCCTTTTGCGCCCTCTCCACACCGGACCTTGCAGCCAGTGGGCAGTCTGTCTAGAATCTGCGGCCTTCAGATGCTCGGGTAGTAATGGGGGTGGCTGAGGCTGGGACTAGAGCTCTTCAGCCTTCCACCCAGGGGTTAGACCGGGATCAGTCGATTGTCCGCGCCGCCTCACCCGTTTGTGCAGTGCATGGAACTCGCTGTAGCGCCTTGGCACCATGTGTCTGCGCCCGCTGCACAGCACCTCCACTCGGAACACCTGGCGGGGAGAGGTGCGCATGAGGCTCCTCCGCAAGATGCTGCGAGGCCAGCTCTCAGCGACGCCCCCACCCTCCGGCTCTCAAAGGCACAAAGCGGACTTGGAGCGCAGACGCTCTCCGGGTAATCTCCTGCTCCGCCAAACACCCAGGAGAAAAAGCTGGCAGACCCTCCCTTCTGCTCCACGCGTTCCCCCAAGAGCGCAAGCCACCACCCGGAGGCCGGCTAATCCAAGCAGTTCCGAAACCCTCAAGTCGGGGTATCCTCAAGTCGGGGTATCCCGGGACTGTGATGGGAACCCGACCTGGAACTATAGGTCCCTATTGCTCTGGGCGTAGAGAAATTCGGCGGATCCCTGCGCCCCTTTCCAACTAGTGGTTCTGCTCACCATGTGTCCTTTCTCTGGGCTCTGCCTGGGCCCCTCGGCCTCGGGCCCCACCGACGGGATGCGAACTTCCAGCATCCGCTCCCGGGCACCAGCTGCGTCCCCTCCTCAAGTACTGCTCCGAGCGCGAGCCCCGGGATAGCCGCCCGCGGACCCTGCGCGGCCGCCCCGCCCTTCGAGCCCTCAGGCCCCGCCCCAGACCCAGCCCGGGGCGTCCCCAGCACAGCCCGGTCCTGAGCCGACAAGATTAGGCAGGGCGCGGGCTGGAGGTAGCCGAACGCCGCCCCTTCGGTATGGAGGGGCCACAGCGCAGGGGGAGGAACCCTCAGCAGAGAGTCATCGGTTTGTCAAATATTTACTGAACGCCCGACTGCCAGGTACGCGGGCAAGCCAAAATTTCACCTGTTCTTTGTTGAGCGTCTACTAAGGACTCCAGTCTGTGGCGCCTGGCTTGGGCGGAGGCGTCTGCCCAGCGGAGGATCCCCGGAGGTTCCTTGCTTTCCTCAGACCCTTCCCCTGGACCAGGCCGCCCCGTCTCCTTCCCTCCTTTCAGCCTGACCTTTGGGAGCACGGCCGGGAGACTCCAGCTGAGACCATGGGTAAAACGTGGGTCAGTACAGCTTTGTCGTCCCCTTTCCCCAGAATCCACAGGCCCCTTCATTCATTTTTTTTCTTCCATCCCTCCATTCATATTTTTCAACCTTAACCTGTTCTAGGGACATTTTACAGGGAAGAGGTAATTTAGGAACCCAGGCTCTACTCTGGAGATCAGTCAGAATGGTATCAGAAACTGTGTAGACCTTGGGCTGGGGATGTGGCTCAAGCGGTAGCGCGCTCGCCTGGCATGCGTGCGGCCCAGGTTCTATCCTCAGCACCACATACAAACAAAGACGTTGTGTCTGCCGAAAACTAAAAAATAAATATTAAAATTCTCTCTCTCTCTCTCTGTAGACCTTTGCTTACGTGCAAAATAGAAATAATGTGCCTCCCAGGGCTGGGGATGTAGCTCAGTGGTAGAGAGCTGGCCAGTATATGTGATTCCCATGTGCCACCAAAAAAAAAAAAGAAAAAAAGAAAGAAAGAAAGAAAGAAAAGAAAAAAGAAAAACCACACCTCCTTCAGGACAGTGTATAACAATTGAGCAAAGCCAGGTGCACACCTATAGACAGACCCAGTTACTTAGGAGGCTGAGGCTGAGGCTGGAGGATGGCTGGAGAGCAGGAATTAAAGGCCAGCCTGGGCAACATAGGGAGACCCTCTCAAATAAATGAGATGATGACCCATGTTAAGCCCTTAGCACAGCAGATGTCTGGTAAACAGCAGCTTGATTGTAGGCTTGCCCTGGAGAGAGGTTGGGTGATGAGTAAGAGAGGTAGGTAAAGGCAGTGAACAGGAAAGGACTGTGGGAGGTGGCACCAGGCTGCTCTTGCCTATCTTTCTCAGTAGGGTCAACTGGGAATGTGGAAATATTTAAATAGAACTTTTTCCACCCAATATGCTGAAAGGGCCTCTGCTCCCATCTCTTTGCCACACCCCTCAACAGCAGAGCTGCTTCCACTCAGTAGCTCCATAACAGGAGCCCTCTATCTCACTGACTTCCCCTGACAAAGGAACCTGAGGTGAAGATGCGATACCCTTCCCCTCAAGAGCTTGCACCTACCACCTGGTAGGAGGCCTGGTGGAGAGGGGAAGACAGAGTGCCTTTGATGGACTCACCTCTCTCCTTCAGAGTGGGAGCAGAACATATGCATTCCCAGCCCAGCCCCAGAGAGGAGCTCAGAGGATGACCCCCTAATGGGGGCAGGTATGTCTCATGTGTCCCACATATTCTCCTTCCAAATTCCATCACACAGGGGCCCCAGAATCAGGAAGCTGAAACTTCCTGCATCCTGGTATGGTCCCCTGGAAGGGAAATGACCGACACTGAGGAGAAGTGGTGTGGTTTCATTTCCTCCCTGGCATTCTAGGGCCCCAGCTCCTCCTTGACCTTCAGGGCCTACCAGTGCCTCTGTTCAGGACACCATCCTAATGACCATTTGCCCTCTGTCTCTGGATCTCCCTGCTTTTCCTTGCCTCCCTCCCCAGTCAATATAAGGTTTATTCTCTATCCTTCTATACAAACTATTAAAGCCAGGCTTCAGCCATAGTGACCTTCCTCTAGTTCTTCAAACCTGACAAGTTCTTTTCTTGCCTCCGGGACTTTGTCTTTGTTTTCCCTATCCCTGGAACAGTCTTCCTTGACTTTTAGCCTGGTGGACTCATCTTCTAATTCTGAGCATAAGCTTACCTCCTCAAAGAGGCTTCCTTCCTGACCCCATCATATCACTTGGTCCATGCACATATTAAGTCTGTAATTATTGTTTATTATATGTCTCCACAGTGCCAAGTATTTAGCATAGGTCTTTGGTGGGTAGAATGGTGGGATAATTTTCCTCACTCATCATAAGGTTCACATGGACATTCCTGTAACAAAAGACAGGTTAATAAGAGAAAAGCATAGCAAAATTTATTTAATTAAAGTTTAATGTGATATGGGACCCTTTCAAAATGAAGGCCCAGAGACCCAGGGGTCTTCATTTCAAGGTTCATGCTTAAGTCTGATGAAGCATGAATAGTCACATAGAAACATTTTTGGACAAAAAGGGTATGATGGATTAAGCGGGAAGTCCAGCATGGCCTGTCCAGATTTTTCTCAGCCTCTGTGCATCATCATTCGTTTCTCCTGGATGTGGAGCAAGATTCCTCTGGAATAAGGGTGTTCAAGGGGGCTGGGGATGTGGCTCAAGCGGTAGCTCGCTCGCCTGGCATGCGTGCGGCCCAGGTTCGATCCTCAGCACCACATACAAACAAAGATGTTGTGTCCACCGAAAACTAAAAAATAAATATTAAAAGAAAATTCTCTCTCTCTCTCTCTCTCTCTCTCTCTCTCTCTCTCTCTCTCTCTCTCTCTCGTGCGCGCATGCGCTCTCACTCTCTCTCTCTTTAAAAAAAAAGGGTGTTCAAGGGAGAAGGGAAAGGGTAAATAACCTTTCTAGGTTTATGGTTTGCTTTAGGGGAATAGGGTTCTGTATTTTTGTTTTTGATATGAGGGACTGAACCCAGGGCACTCTACCACTGAATTACATCCTCAGCCCTTGTTATTTTTTAAATTTCGAGACCGGGTTTCCTAGGTTGTCCAGACTGGACTTAAATTTATGATCTTCTTGCCTCAGCTGCTCAAGTAAACTGGGATTCCAAGTGTGTACCACTACACCTTATGTGATTCTAGTTTCTGTGACCCATTTTGGAGAAGAAAAATTCTGATTTCTGTAGCTCACTTCAGGGAAGAAAGTAAGGGCAGGAGGTCAGAGAGACCTTGCTCTTAGGCCCTTCCAGTCTTTTTATTTTATTAATTAATTAATTTTTGGTGTTGGGATGGAACCCTTGCACATGCTAAGCACACACTATCACTGAGCTACATCCCCAGCCCCCAAATCCTTTATTTCAAAATATTTAGCACTTAAGGGTGCCATACCTTGGAGTTTCATGTTCTGAGCCCTGATATACTAAAAACAAAAAACTGTTGATTGAAAGAGTATATGAATGAGAATATGTAAGATTGAATCTATTATGTATAATTATAAAGCACCAATAAAGTTTTTTAAAAAATAAAAAGGCTAAATGGGGAGGTAGAGCAAAGGCTGGGGAGGGGAGAGAAGGCCTGGGAGAGAGGTGCAGAGGGGACAGAGGTTGCTGAAGGGCTAGAAGGTCTGCTGCAAGGGGATTACAAGAACGCTTTTTCCATCTTAGGGTTAGACATCCATCTCTGCCTCTCTCTTTTGGTGGACTGGTGTTCATTTTATTCATTTGACTTAATTTCCAGATGTTCCTGAGAAGCTTCAGTGGCTTTTCATTGCCTTTTCAGTGGCTTTTCATTGAGATTCAATACAAATGACTTGAAAACATCCTGTAGTAAACATGCAGGTCCCTAATTCTACAGTGTCCTGTGGTGCAAAGGTGCAGGTCCAAATAAGGAGAAACAAGATCCTGGACTTGGAGGTATTATTTACAGTGTCTTTGAGGAGATAGAACAAGTTATGTGCAATATTGTCCTATAAAGAGCAACACATGGCATGATATAAATTCCAAAGCAGTTATTACAATCAGAGGAAGAGTTTATTTTCTGTATACTTTAAGCATTGGTCAGTGTGGCAAATGAACACTGTTAAATTCCAGGCTTATATGATGGGTGTAGAGACCTCAAAGTGACTTCTATTTTTAGAATGAGTTGTTTTACTATAGAATCTCTGTCTTTTCTCCATCACTGTCTAGTATATGAATTTAATTTCTAAGTTGCTGAGTGAAAATTGCCTAAAAGTATTAATTGATCACATTTTCTTGATCTAGATTATACAGCAATAGTTTTCAAATTTTCACAGTCAGTATTATTCCCTAGAGGTCCTGCCTGACAATCTCAGATTTTAGGGCCCCAACCCCATATTTTCTTTTTTTGGGGTACCAGGGATTGAACTGGGGGACTCAAGCACTGAGCCACATCCCCAGCTCTATTTTGTATTTTATTTAGAGACAGGGTCTCACTGAGTTGCTAAGTGCCTCGCTGTTGCTGAGGCTAACTTTGCAATCAGAAAATATGGGGTTGTGCTGGGTGTGGTGGCACATGCCTGTAATCCCAGCGGCTGGGGAGGCTGAGACAGGAGGATTGGGTTCAGAGCCCTACGTGGTGCCTAATCATGGACATTTTCAACAGTTCCCTGGGGATGCCCCGTGTGTTCCTGGGGACCATGTAGTAGACATCGGACTCCCACACCAGCCCCTCAAGGGACTGTGCTACACTGGCTGCTTGACAGTATCATGGCTTGAGCAAAGGGCAGGACATGCTGAGGTGAAGATGTTCCCCAACACAGCCCTGCTCCTGTGGTGGTCCTGTGGGTTGGCTGGCCTGCGCTTCTGCCATGCCTTGGCTGGGCCCTCACCCTCCACCATTGCTAACAAAACCACTGCACACAAAACCCCCTTTCACCCGCAGCTCCACCCCACAGCTCCAAGGCTGCTCAGGAGGTTTGGTTAACCCCGTTAAGAAAACAAATAGCTCCTGGGCAGGGCAGGCAAGCGGGTGCTGCTAGACACAGAGGCTGGATTCTTCTCTGGGAGTGGGTGGGTCAGCCAGAGGGAGGGGCCAACCATGGGAGGCTGCCTGAGCAAGGGTAGGCCTTGCCTGCCCCACCCAAGTCCTGCTCTAGTCACTTGTGTAATCTTGGAGAGCCCCCCTGAACTTGAGTCCTTATCTGTACAATGGAGAGTTGGGTGGGGGGCGTTGTGTGTGGGTTAAATGACATCATGCTTCTGAAGTGCTTAGCATGGGCCTGACACACAGTAAATAAATATTCGCTGTTATTTTTAACTGAATTATATGAAACTAATGTTTTTGTAATCCAAAAATGGTAGGAGATTCACAGTTACATTTAGTTCATCCTAATATATTGCTACTTATTTATCAACAAAAACAAATTCTATTCCTTTCAGTATGCTGAGCTTTAAAGGTTAGTTTGAAAACAACTCTTTCAGCTACTAACTCTGTGATAAGGATTTTCCTGATATTTCTCCATATTGCACAACCAAAAAAAACAAAACAAACAAACAAACAAAAAAACACAGCAAATAAATTGGAAGAAGAGCTTGGTGTAAATCAGCAACTATTCTATTCATCACAACCACCTCAGGGTTCCTACTGATTGCCTTTTTAATAAGTACATTTTATTAATTTGAAATAAAATTTAAAAACAATTTTTATGTTATAATATTGAATTTTGGAACAAGATACCTTAAAAAGAGTTCTCTAAAACAATTTTTAAGTTTCTGACATAGTCTAAAGTCTTCATTTTCAGAAACAGGAGAGTGAAGCCCAAGGGTGAGAAGTGGTTCTGGAAAGAGCTGGATTAAGAAGGCACCTCTATAGAAAATGTCTTGAGAGCCCTGAGAGCAAACCAGGCTCAGGACAGGTTGGCAACCTGCTTTTCAGGGTCAAGCAGGTTCCAGACCTGCAGCCCCAGCCAGCAGTGTCATTCCTCAGAGCCTCTTTTCCTCTGCCCAGATATGACAGAGGCAGCTCAGCTGCTCACCCAGGGCTGCATCAGGAGGAGCTGGCAAAGACTGCCTCGGCACTTTTCATGGCACAGCAGATTTTTCTTGGGAGACAACTTTCTAACACTCCTCAAACCATATGTCACTATGCCTGGTTCAACAAATGTATCTGGCATTAAAGGTCCCCAGCTGTTTACTAGACCTGCTTCTCTGACTTCCAATGGCTGCTCCTAGGGGAAAGAGGATCTCAAAGGGGTCAGAGAGGCTCATATACTTACAAGGTCAGGTCAGTATCAAAATGGGACTTGTTCCAGGTGCAGTAGCACATGCCTGTAATCCTAGCTATGCAGGAGCTGAGGGAGGAGGATCTCAAATTTGAGGCCAGACTGGACAACTCAGCAAGATTCTGTCTCAAAATAAAATAAAAAGGGCTGGGAATGCAGCTAACTGGTAGAGCATTTGCCCAAATGGATTTGTCCTTAACAGGCATACTGTATGGATTTATTGAGGTCTTTAAGAACTTTGTAGGTTAATGTCTTAGTAGGTTGTTAGCTCTGGGGTGTTGTCTAGAGCTAAGAACCTAGAACCTAACTTAGCTCTGAGCAAGCTGCTTGTTCTTTGAGCCTCAAGTATTTTAATGTAGATAATGATGACTACCTGGTAAGTTGAAGGTACTGGAGTAGAGATGTCTTAAAGCCCTGAGCACAATGCCTGGCAGATAGTACTTAACAAGCAACAATTCTTACTATAGTTAATGAAATAATGAGGCTCCACAGTGGGAAGAGGCTGCCGGGGGCAGTCTGTCCTTTGACCTACACATGTTCCTGCCTGTAAGGTGCACCTCATCTTTTTTGCTAGTGAGGCTGCTGATGTGCCACTTCACAGAGACTTGCTGGTTGGGTCCCTGTGGCCATCATTGCTGCCACTCATAATGGAAGGGGAAGCTAAAAAGCAATAAATCTTGGAGGGAAGAGTCATTTGGAAACAGTCGTCACATCTCTTTAGTGAAAGGTTCTATCTCAGACTGGCCAGGGTTTTTCTGTGGTTTTTTTCTGGACCCAGACAAAGTACATCCTATGGAGGATGAACAGCTGGCTTTTTCTGAGCTGCCTTGGGTGGGTGGAGTTTCTGTCCCAGAGGTCTGGTCATCTTAGCCACAGGGGCATTTCCACAACAGACAAGGGCCAAAGGGGAGAAGGCTTATCTCAGGCAAGCCTGATGAGGCAGGTGGCTATCATGGGGCAGCCTGTAGGCCCCACCTAAGGCTCTGAGCACTAGTCTTACCAACCATGGTAGGGCCTACTGAGTCCCAAAATTGCCAGATTTCATAACTGTTTGAAAAACCTCAAGATCTGTCCTCAGTAGCCATATGGCAATGATGTGGAGCTACAGAATAGCAACTACCCCCACAGGCTGCCTTTGAGGGTGGCAGGAGGATACCAAGATGAGTAGAAAATACAAACTCTATGATCTTAAGGAATTCATTGCACAGGAGGCCAATGAGGTAACCTCAGAGAGCCATTGCATAAGGTAGAGACCAGAGTTTACAAAGACAATAAATACAGTGCCATACAAGAGGTACAGGAGACGGAGTTCCCATTCCTGTCTGGGATAGAGATGGTGGATCAGATAAAGTGGATCAGACAAAGCTTTTCAGAGAATTTATATATGAAGTAGGCCCCAAAGGATGCACTAAATTGTTCTCCCACAATGAAAATAGCTTTATTTGATTTTTCTACTTGTAAAGATAATACAGACATTTTAAGCAATATAAATGGCATAAAAAACTGGAAGTAATGCAAAATTCCATCTTTAGAGGCAATCATAGTAAACAATTTAATTAACATCCTTCCCATATATAAAATTTTATAAAATGAGGATCATATCATACATGCAATTCTAAAACCTGCTTTTTTCACTCAAAAATATGAGTTTTTCTTGTCAATGAATATAATTACATATCACTTTCAATGGCTATATAATAGCCAACTGTATGACTGTACCATAATTCATTTAATCCTTTCATGACACAAATTTAGATTCATTCCAGTTTTTGCAACTGTAAACAAACAACACCATTTACAATGGGCATCTGTGGTTAGTTTTCATGGGCCTGGTTTCTAGAAGTGTCTATGAGGATCCTCACTGACACATTGGCAAATGCCCTCCATCTCCTTACACTTACGTGCCCATCCATAATGTTGAAAAATGCCTATTTCAGACTGGTATAATTCTGAAACTGAAGATAAGAAATGGGAACTGAGAAAGAATGTCACAGGTACAAAGCCCAGAATTAACAAAGGCTCATCCAGTCACATGGAAATGAGAAAGGGAAAAAGCATGTTTGTAATCAGTTTCCATGAGACTTTAGCACTGTTAAGGACTGGGAGATAAACAGGGCAAGGTGAGCTGGGTCCTCTCACAGACAGCTGTGAATGCCAGGCAGCAGAGCCTGCAACTGAATAATCATGTAACACTTATCTATTTGGCATCAGTTTTGAACCCAAACTTTTGCTGGGGCCATGAAGTGATAAAGACATATAACCAACACAAAGCCACACAACTGGTATCCCAGGATAGTGATGTATGCTCCATTCCCAAGGTTCAGAGGATAGGATTGAGTTGTTGTCCGTTTCTAATTCTTAACTCAAACACGGCACAGAGAATCTTAGTATCTCCAAAGACAAAGTATATAGCTAAGGGATGTGCCGACAGCAGCAAAGATGTGTCCTTTTCTGCTAGGGCAGGGATCACTATTCTTCTCTTTCCCTCCATTTCCTCCAAGCTGCCAAGTACCAGTGGGAAAAATCCCACACCTTGCGGTTAGATGTCACTCAGAATCCATGGGCTTCAACCTCATGTGGGGCCTAAGCATGCTCAGCAAAGGACACTCTTTCCATCACCACGCTCTGCCCAACCAGACCTTTGCCCATATTTGAGCAGGTTTCCATCAATTCTCCTTTTTAAAATTTGAATTTCTGAAAAACCATTCCTTATTTTCTTTAGAGTTCCCAACTATAGGTGCATTAATAATAAAAGTCTTCTGGGAGGGCTGGGCGTGGTGGTGCACTCCTGTAATCCCAAAGGCTCGGGCACCTGAGTCAGGAGGATGGCGAGTTCAAAGCCAACCTCAGCAAAAGTGAGGTGCTAAGCAACTCAGTGAGACCCTGACTCCTGTCTCTAAATAAAATACAAAATAGGGCTGGGGATGTGGCTCAGTGGTCAAGTGCCCCCTGAGTTTAATCCCCAGTACTAAAAAAAAAAAAAAAAGTCTTCTGGGAAGAGTTTAAAGTTACTAATATTTATGTGACACTTCTTCTCTATTTTATTTCTACTCCACTTACTTATTCTGTCACTGAATACTTATACTGAATATTACATTTTCCCCAGCTCTATTTCCTCACCTTCAGATGGAATCCAGAAATTCTTGAGGAAACAACCCAAGGGGCAAGCAGGATAATTGTAGACTTATCTCCATACATTTTGTCCAAACCTCTTGGTTCAAATAGGTAAACAGTGTCCCTACCAGGAGGAGGCATGAACCCTTCTTCTGCCTTCCCTCCTCCAATAGATTTCTTTCTCACAGCAGACAGCAGTGAGGCTCCCTCTGAGCATGGGAACTGTTCCCTTCCACTCTCTGGGCTGCCTTTATTCCCACACATAACTCTGAGAGTTGTTCCCTTTCTCTCCTCTGAATTTCTATAACATGCTTAAGTCTGCCCAGCCTTTAAATAAAACTCTGTATCTCCCACTTCTAACCACCAGCCTCTCATCCCCTCCAGAGGAGCTTTACTGTCCCCACTGCTTCCCCTCCCATCTGCTCTAAACCTGTTTGCCTTCTGTGTAGCTTGTGTTACAATGTGTAATCTGTGTCTAATATTCAAGCCAGATACCTGAGGGCCATGCCAACTACCTTCCCCTCCCTCGGGTCTCTCATCAAGTCAGTGGCCAGGTCCCAGTGGTTGCATCTCCACCTTCCAAACCTCTCCCTGAGTTCTAACTCCATTATTACTGGCCTCATCCCTGCGGATGTTGTATAGAGCCTGGCAGCAATCTCCACCTCCAGTCTGACACCTTCTGATGTCTAAATCACAAATACTTCCCTTCAGTAGCTTCCTGTACTTGTAGGATAACGTTCAAAGGGCCTCACGAATTCTCAGGCATTATGATCCAGCTTCTGCTCATTACTCTCACCTCACTGATTCAACTCTGGCCATACCAAGCACTTGTATGTCCCTAGATATCGGTATCCACCTCTGACTATCAGGCAGACAAGGAAAGCAGAATGGTCCTGGTAGAAGGAACAAACACCTCTTCACGTTTAAGACACAGTTCAAACATCACATTCTCATCAATTTCTTCCCCCTGAGTCTCCTTTCTTTGTGTCATTTATTTATTATTCCTTTGTGCCTGTTATTCCCTGTAGAGGTTTCTGAATCAGTACCCCTCACCTGCTGTTGGCCTTCTTGATTTCCATGTCTATAAACTCTGCACAGAAATGCATAAGCCCTGAAGTCAACTGGCCCATCAGCTTCGAGACACAGCAGACACAGAGGGAAGTTTTGAAACCCAAGGAGCATCCATCCCAAGGAAATAATGAAACATCAAGATGATCATTGGATAGAACTTAACAAAGCACAGAGAAGTTAATTTAAAAATAAGTCTCTGTGGAGAAAAGAATTACAAATGTGGAAAGGGGACAGAGTAAACCTATAGGGCTAGACTACAACTATCAATGTGAATTCATGAAAGAATTTATTTTTTGTGGTAATGGGGATTGAACCCTCTATGCCTTGTGCATGCTAGGCAAGTGCTCTACACTGAGCACTCTCCACCCCATGATTTTTAAAAAATATTTATTTTTTAGTTATAGTTGGACACATTACTTCTATTTTATTTATTTTTATGTGGTGCTAAAGATCAAACCCAGGGCCTTGCACGTGCTAGGCGAGTGCTCTTCCACTGAGCCACAACACCAGCCCCCCATGATTTTTTTTTTGTTGTTGTAGATGGACACTATCTTTATTTTTTTATGTGGTGCTGAGGATCAAACCCAGTGCCTCATACATGCGAAGCAAGCATTCAACCTCTGAGCTATAACCCCAGCCTCCCACCCCATGATTTTTAATATCTACTTATGTGATCGATCTCTACCTCTCTCAATATTTCTTTTACCTCTCTATATTTTCTTGTCCTGTCTGGAAAACCTTGCAGCAAGATGTCCCAGTAACAACAAGCACACTCAACACCCAAACTTGGTTTCTAAATTTCATTCCTAAGAATCAAAGCTTCCTGGAGAAATGGCTGATTCTAGGGCTGAGGCAAGGAAGATACAAGATGAGCCTAGAATATCTTGTTATGCCAGAAAGTAAAGTATTCAAAAGACACAGGAGCCTGCTACCAATGTAGGACAGTTTGAGCAAAATAAAGTCAAAGTAACAGCTTGAATTTGAATACAGTAGGAATCCATGTTTCCATACTGATAAACAAGTGGTAAAATAAATGGGGAAAGAGAATGTTTTTATTTAGAAGGAGAATGCCAACCAATAAATGTAGAAAGCAGGTCTGAGATGGAAAATAATACTGCTCAATCCTTATAATAATAACTGATTCAGGCAAGACCAGTTACCAATGGATGCTATAACCGTGGATGAACAAAATACTTGTATGATCTGAAAGTATCTCCCATAAATTACTTGTTAATTACAAAGGGGAAAATAGCAAATTTAAAATGGAAAACCTGGTAGACATCAACTTAACCAAGTGATCAGATTTATCATCAACATTAATGGGACAAACAACATCATATGCCAACTTCAGATGCATGGAGAACACATCACTTCTATGATGTTCGTATCCACAATGGAAAGCCCCAGTCATGTGGAACCATAAGAAAAATGCAAATTAAGCAATATTCTACAAAATAACTGGCCTATATTCTTCAAAAATGTCACCATAATGAAAGACAAAGGCTGAGGAACTCTTCTGCATTAAAGGAGATACAGGTAGGGCTGGGGAATGTAGCTCAGTGATAGGGCTTTGCTCTAGGTTCAACCTCCAGTACTACAAAAACAAAACAAAAATAATTTTTAAAAAAAGAGAAATGTAATCATGTATCACAAATAAAAGTAACACATGATCCTGCATAAGGAAAAAGAGAACTGATACAAAGGACATTATGGGGACAAATGACGAATTTAAATATGGTAACCATCATTAGATAAGTATTTTATTAGTGTTCAACTTCCTGGTTTTAATACTGTACTTACATGAGAAGGTTCTTGTTCTTTTTTTTTTTTTTTTTTTTGCTAATTGTTTTTATTTATTTATTTATTTATTTATTTTTAATTTTTTATTGTTGGTTGTTCAAAACATTACAAATTAAGGTTCTTGTTCTTAAGGAAATACATACTTCAGTTTCTGGGGCCATGGGATTCACTGGTATGCAATTTATTTTCCAATGATTCAGAAAATACAACATGCAAATTCAGTAGATAAAGCAAATCATAAAGCAAATGGGGTAAAATGTGAATACTTCATAAATTTGGGTAAAGAGTACATTTGTAACATTTCTGCAACTTTCTATAAGTTTGAAATTATATTTTAAAAAGTTATAAAAAAACTCCCCGCAAACCAAGAATCCAACAGTAAAGGATGAATAAAAATTATGGTACAGTCTAATCTATGGAAGCCTTAAAATGATATAGCCTTACAAATTTGTGAAGGTATATAAAGATACAGAAAAAATGCCGGTAACATATAATGTTGAATGATAAAAGCAGGATACAAAATATTTTATGTGTATATTATTACAACTATGTAAAGACAAGCATATTAAAAAGGTGGAAAGATAAAATCAAAAGTGATAATAAAGATATAGGGGAGAAACTGAGTAACTTTTTCCAAAAACTTAACCTGTTGAAAAAAATACTTGCAGCAAGGACACCTTCCCAGATACAGGTCAGCACCATTTAATGCTTTCTCTTGCCTTAGGCTGCCCCTCCCCAAACCTTAGCCTCCACCAAAGAGAACTGAAAGAGCAGGTCCTAGAGCCCCTATGCAGAGGGTGGTGGGGTTGGAGGTGGCAAGATTCCTATGGCAGGCAGTCAGCCAGCTCTGACTCACAAGGGAGCTTCAAAGTCAGCTCTGACCAGTGCAGCTCATGCAGCTGGGAACACAGCTGAGAGGAAACCCATCAATGACTTATCTGAGGCTCTGGCCTTCCCTGGCCAGACCAGTAAAGACCTGTTTGAACACCCTTGGCTTGTGCTTACAATACCTGGGGGCTCTTCCTGACATGCTCCCTCTGAAGACACAGACAGTGAAGCTTCTGTGAATCTCAAAAAGGCTCAGGAGCTTGGAGATTACCCTATCCAGAGGCACAAGTTCTGGCTCTTTGTAGGGATAAAGCAGCAAGTCCTTAATTATATATTTATACCTTAACAAGAACAGTTTATTGAGGATGTGGTGGTTTTGCTTGCTTGCTTACTTATTTACTGTGACTTATTTTTGGTGCTGGAGAATTGAACCCCATGCCTTATACATGTATTCTACCACTGAGCCATAGTCCTCAGCCCCTAAGGACATGTTTTGATAGGTAGCTAGAACATAAAACTTGCTTCCAGAGCTTAGGCCAAAAGTAGGAATAAGACAAGGTTAGCCTTCTCTGCAAAATAAGTTTTTAAAATTCCTTCTCTAAAAAAACAAGAGTTAAGAATTAGGCAGATTAATATAGCCTCTGAATAACATCTGAGGTAGGTAGAGAAAAAGAAACCCAAGTTCCACAGGGAAGGAGCAGCAAAATCTTATGAACTCCTATACAGAGAAAGTTCCTACACCTGGGCAGCTTCTTGGTTATGAGTATTTCAGACCTGCTTCCCAACTGCTCCCCAAACTAAAGCAAAAAGCACCACCATTCTGAGTCATGTGACCTGATTTTAAAATATTTTATTACATAATCTTTTCATGGCACCATCAGGAGTAACAGAAAACGTTATTCCCAGTTCCTAAACCACATCCTGAAAAATATACATTTGTATTTATATATTTATAGCAATACTTCACCCCTATTCCATAATCCACCACCTACTGTAGTCTTTTGCTTAAAGCAGGAAACTATTCTCTTAGGTAAGAAAATATATATGGAAGCTAAATGAAATACTGGTTAGAGTAACTGGGAACAGTTTGGTCACAGGGGCAGGTAGGAAGGGGCTAAGTCCAGCCTAGGCAAGATGCATCACTGGAGTCCATCAAAGGAAAGACAGTGTATAAAAAGTCAGCGTCACACAGGTAGGCTCTGGAATCCTTGGTCCATTAGGAGATGGCCTTTGCCTCAGGAAGGAAGGCTTCCCAGTACTTTGCCAGCTGCAAAGAAGTGGGGGGACAGTAAGCAAGTACCCCCATGTAGTTAGCAGGGCCCAAGTTAGTCTGGGAGGGAGCAAGCACCTCAGCCACCCAAAGGAAGGTGTGCTGAGCAGATGCAGAAGCCATAACATTATCTTCCTTTTCCTCTATTAGCAGGAGCATCTGTTTCTGAGTCCCAAGTGGAAGGGAAGTCTCTCTCTAAAGACAATCTTGGTTTTGCCCTGAAGGATGTACTCCTAGAGGCCACAGTTTTGCCCAGCTGTTAACTTCTCACAATAAGGCCATTCCATACTAATTGAGGTCTCAGCCTCACGAGGGCTAGGTGGTGCCACAGAGTTGCCCTTACTGGGAGAGAAGTTAATCATAGACTTAGGGCAACACAATCGGATCCTCCTGTCAGATGTTCTATGCTGGAGTAGCAAGGCCAATTTTCTATTATTAACTATAGCAGGGACCCTCCCTCCAAGCAAGACCTGCCCATTTTGTCATTCAAGGCCCAAGTAGGGATCTGACCCCTGGAGTGGGGAGTAGGGGACAAAGTTCATACATAACTTACATACCTGCTGCTGTGAATACAGGAGTGTCTCAAGGTACTTGATCACGTGGTTTTTGAAGTCCTTGGATTTCTCTTTCTATAGGAGACAGGAGTCTACACTAATCATCCAGACAGTTGCTCCTTCCCCTTTTGATAGGATGTTGTGTGTATTGCTGATCAAGGCCAAACACAGCCAGCAGCTGGAATAACTACAATTTCCAGCCAAATCCTCTCTGCTAATGCTCTGCAAAGCTTTCTTGGAGGACAAAGGATGAGCAGGGGAGGAGTAAGAATGGGGGCCCAGAGTGTACATGGCAGATACAAACTGTTTTGTATCTAATGCTCTGATCTGGCAGTAAGTTTAAGGGAGCTACCATGCCTCAGGAACAAATGCACATATGAGCACACACATGAGCACACACATGTACACCCACAAGCACACAGAAGGCCTTGTCAGTTCACAAGAACTACACGCTAAGTTAGAAGTTAGACTCTTCTAGCTTACCTCAAACCGTATCACTTCTTTTCGGACCACTGTTGAAATCCTTTCAAAGTCCCTTTCATACTGAGTCACCCGAGACTCCCACTGTGAAGGAAAAGCAAAGAAAGGATCATTTAAGTCTTTACATTTGGTCAGAAATTCCACATGAGACCTCAACTGATCATTATATCCAGCAAAAGGTTACTTCAGGGACTGCTGAGAAAGAGATGCCATGTGTTCCAGACCAAGCCTGGTCTTTGAGAAAGCTCTGGTACTGCAGCAGCTTCTGATTTAGTTCTTACCAGCAGTGCCAGAAGTGCTGCCCCACCCCACCACCTCATTTCATTCTCACCAGGGCACCATTTTTGCATCACCTAAGTAGCCATACCAGGATCCCCTACCGAGACTCTGATTTGGCAAGTCTGGGTGGAGTGGGAAGAGAAAAGAGTCAGGCCTTAGGGCAGGCCTGCAATCACTCTGAGGCTTACCCAGAAGACAAGGCCCTTTAATCTCAATTATCTTTTCTGCCTGCTGAGGGGTTCCAAGCATCTGGGTGGAATGAGACCAGGCTCATTCAGAAGCCAGAGAATACCTTGGCAATAGGGTGCCTTAGGAAACTCACCTCTGTGATCTCATCCTTGGCCTGCTGTAGCTTGTCAGGCTTGTTGGCCCACAACAGCCGAGCCTCAGCCTCTCGCTTCTTCTGCAGCATAGCTTGAGCATCCTGCCAGCGTTGCCATGTCTTCATGCGCTGGTCAAAGGCAGCCTGTGGGGGTAGGGGTTTGGGAGGAGCACAACCAGCTGTTCAGGAGCTCTGCTAGGTCTGCTTTGTAGGGAGGCTCTCCCAGCAGCTGTGCCAGGGAAGGACTGAGCAAGGGCAGGTTCTGCAGCCACAGTTAGTGCCCAGCTGCAAAGTTTAATATCTAGAAGCACAAGCTTGGGTAATATCCTCTCCGAGCCTTCAGTGGGCCAATGCCATGCTGCTTCATGCTACTTCCGGGATTGGATGGCTGGGAGCACAGTAGGTGGCCTGACGCCAGTGATGAATACTATGACTTCCGAAATGCCTCCCTCAGAAAAGTGAGTCCATGAGACTACACATTCTCCCTGGTGCCAGAAATTAAGAATACAGTGGCAGTGAAACACATGATCCAGTTTTCACTGAACTTATCTTCTATTGGAAAAAGCCATCATTGTATTAACAATCACAAACACATACAAGTATGCAGAGTAGCAGGAAAACAAGCAGGGTATTTTAACATAAAGCTTGCTTAGCTTTGGAGATATGTCAGGGAAATCTAACCCAAGGAAGCAAACTTTCAACTGACACTTAAATAGCATACAAGGTTAGCTTAAAATAAACACTTATAACAGGACACTCTGCTTACATCTCAACCACACACTCACCTTCTCTAGGCAATCAACGCTGCCAAAAAGCTCCCCAAAGTCTACTTGCTGGTTTTCCCTATTTCCAATCCCTTGAACACAATCAGCATTTCCAGAGAAGGGCAGTTGTTGATTTAACCAAACTACCACCACTCCACATTCGGTTTGTAGACCTCAAGAGGCAGCACAGATCAAAGTGCCTAGGGCCAAACTCCCAGCCCTGTTCCATTAGTTCCCCTTTCCCTACAAAAGTTCCCTGTACATTCCCTAGGCTTCCTTAACATGGGCCTTTGCCAAACCTGAACATTAGGGAGTGCAAAGCCATCAAATTCACCTTCCTCAGCATAATTACTGCTGATTGCCTGCAATTTCTCAGGCAATTTCATATCCAAGACTCAAACTAACAGTGGGCTAGCAGTAGTTTAATTCTAGGTTCAGGGAAGGGCAGGAAAAAAACACCTGCTTGTCTCTCAAATCTCACAGAAGCTTATGACATAAAGTGGGAATATGAAGGACTCTGAGAAATGATCAGTCACAATTCTATGCTCTAAAGCACACTTCCCCAGCCCCAGCCTGTGGAGCTCCAGCCTCCTCTCCCTCCTGTATATACAAGCTCAGCTGCCTGAGGATATCCAAATATTCTCCAGAGACCCCCATACAATGCTCCTCTCAGAAAGCTTCCCCCAGACAGAGCCCTTCCCTGAGATGGCTCTCCAATCTAAGTAGTCTGACCAGTTCTAAGAATTCCATAGCAGGTTATTTTTCAAGCCTCTTATCACTCTGGAGTTAGGAGCAAACCAAAGACCAAAGGGAGAGGACAATGAGCAGTCTCACAGGCTATATTAAGCAACTCTACTGCAGAGGAAGTGAGAGTCCTAGGAGCATCTCAGCTCTTGACAGAACACAGAAGCTCCCTAGTGGGAGATATGTTGGGGATGGGGAGTCAGGGGTGGCACCATTCCAACTCAGAGGCTCAGACATCCTGATCCCAAGCTGAATCAGGCCCTTATAGGGTAGGCACAAGGCTCTCTCTTAATTCTTTCCTCTGTTTTAGAGGCCATGCGAGAGCTAATACCACTGCCCAGTCAAGCTCTCTTAATTGCTCTGAGAGGTCATGGGAAACCAGACTGCCCTGGTCACCAGGAGAAAAAGTGAGGTGTTTGATCTGAGGGACAGGCTGCAGTGTTGTTACCAGGGTGGTCAGCACAGCACAGGGAGGGCTCTGGTGACACGCTCTCTCAGACCCCTGGCCACACTCCTCCATGCAATGCCAAGCCAGTTCTGTGTAGTTACCTGACTGCCCACATTGGAGGGACAAGTGGAAGCCAGCAAGAGCTCTTATCAGGGCAAAGCCACCGCTTGCTGTTAAGAAGGCAAAGACCAAAGGACTGAAGAAGTCACTGCTCCACGGAGCCAAGACAATAGGTCTGTAATAACCCTTGCTTGAAGGTAGGAGCACAGAGGACACTGTCCTTCAACAACAGGGGGGAGGCTATTTGGAAATTCAGGAGTGGTCTTTTCTCCAAATTCATCTAGGAAATTGGCTGTGGGCCTCAAAACAACTCAACAATATTTGACTAACAGCCAAACAGATTGCTTGGTTGGTAGGATACCTTCTCTTATAATAGTAGAAAAAGTTATACCTATTTATAAGCTATAATGAGATGAAATTTCTTGAGACAAAGAAGAGCAAAGAAAATAAAAATTAATCAAGGGAGGAGAAAGAGAAAAAGAAACAAAAGCTTACTCGGACTATGGCCAGGAGGCGAATGTAGTCACTCAGGAGTTCAGCAAGGAGGAAGAAGTCATTGTTGGCCTGTTCCTGGTGAAGCTGCTCAATTTTTTCTTCCACCTCAGCCAGCTGGGAGAGTGCCCGTGACAGTGCCGTGTTGTCCTCGGAACTCCCAAGCATGGCTAGACTCTTTGCAAACTGAGCTGTGTGCAGTGCTAGCTCTGAAAGGAGGAAAAGATAGCAAAGGTCCCTCTGATCTCACAAGGAAAATGGACAAGTCACTTGACCTTGCATGGCATATTTTAGCAATTATTTTCCCTGCATATCCAGCAAACGAGGGCTCCTATAATCTAGTTACCTGTAATACACTCGACCGTATTCAGAAAGTGAAGGGAAAATGTCCTGATCACAGAACAGGAAGGAAAGGCACCTGCTAACATACATTCCAGCACATGGGCCTACCTGAAGGAAGCAGTTTCAATATTCCTGGAGAACACCAAGGGCCAGTTAATACAAATGGGCCAAAGGAATAAAGGTGTTTTGTTGTTGTTTATATTTTAGTTTTGGTACTAGAGTTGATCCCAGGGTCACTTAACAACTCAGCCACATCCCCAGCCCTTTTTATTTTTCATCTTGAGACAAGGTCTTGCTAAGTTGCTGAGGCTGGCTTCATACTTTCAATACTCCTGCCTCAGCCTCCCATGCTGCTAGGATTACAGGTGTGTGCCACTGTGCTCAGCGAATGATGCTTATTTTTATGTTAAAGCTCATGAACTATGTCTACATGCAAGAGATACATATTATTGTAGTCTTACATGCTCTAGAGCAGAGCAAACCTTTTCTGTAAAGGATCATATAGCAAATACTTTACGCTTTGCAGGGCACATATGGTATAGCTGCATGTTCTTTTCTCTCCCATATCCTCCCTTTAAATGTGTAAAAACCATTATTAGCTCAAGGGAATAGGCCCCAGGGCCAGGTCATCATTTGCCAACCCTTACACTGGTCTCATGTTAATGGTCTTTCTTTTAGAATTCTAATTATCAATATGTTTAAGGCAAAAAAGGAAAGCTTTCCAAATTTGGAAAATTTCACTAGCTCTTCAGCAACTCCCACCAAAGAAAGATGAAAAGGGTTAGGAGGCATGTGATTTCCCTGAATTAACACAACCATGTAGCTGAAGCATGTGTGACTTTTTCTCGGATATAAGTCACAACTCAAATACTTTTAACAAAAGCCTTCATCCCAGGTCAATATGTATCTGGGACAGCTTCTCTGCACCTCTCTCAGGTAGAAAGTCCAGCGCCCACAGTGGCTGAATAAAGTTTCCTTCCAGTAGATGTAGGATTTATCTTTTTAATCAGAACATCAAGGACCAGGTGGGCTGAAAATTTCAACTTAGATGCCTGAGAGACTTGGGAACAGCATGCTCTCCCATCTCCAGCTCACTGGAGACAATTTCCCCTAAGTCCAAGTACATTTCGGAGGTGGTTACCTTTTCTGTGGTTGACAAGAGTTTCTACCACAGCATGTAGTTTCCTTAGGCGTTGTTCCTCACACTCTACTTCCTGGAGTTTCTCTTCAAACCACTGAAACACAAGGCCAAGGCCAATGGAGGTTACTTGCATAGGGGCAGAGCAGTCTTTCCTTGGCATTTTTTTTTTTTAAGGGACTGAATTCTTTTAAAGTTGTTTTTTAATTGAGAAAAACAGTCTATAATCTCAGAAATTTCAGGAATTCTCAGGGCTTCTGACCAATAAGTCTGAGAGGCAGAAGGAGCTGAGAGGTACAGGGCTACTCACAATGTCTGATTCATTCATCTTGATGGTCATTTTGCTGACTGCATCTGTGGCTTTGTTGAACATCTTGAGGAGACCAGCACCACTCAATGTCTGAGTACCAACGGCCCGTGGCAGCTACAAAACCAAGAAGGCGGGGATGGCAAGTTATCTGCTGCCCCTATTTTAGGTTCAGAAGAATTAGTATCCATCAGATGGCATGCCCAAAACTTGCCAAACTAATTATTTGAACTGTAAATTGTTGTTGTATCCTAAGGCAGTTACATCAATCTAAAACTAATATATACAACAGAAAAATCAAAGGACTATGTTAAAACAATCAGTAAAGTTTTCAGATTTTGATATTATTCATAGGAAAAAAGTAGACTGGGGTTGTTACGTGGCTAGGTGACCCCACATTTGAGACTGTCTGCCTACTCAGGTATGATCTGCTTAACTATCAAGCATACTTTTGTTCAGTCAAAAGTTCCTTTGCATTAGCACATGTTGCACACAAACCAGACTTAAGTCTTGAGAGACTTTGAAGTTATGCTGTGATTTCATTTAAGTTTTCTGCATTAAACAAGTGTCCAATAATAGGAACATTATTTATTCGTATTAGGCTACTTTTACATAGTAGATTATGCTACAAAAGTTAGACTTTAGTGCTTAGCCCTTTATGGCAGTAGTTCCCAAGTTGGGATCATTTTGCCCTCCAAGGGCACATTTGGCAATGTCTGGCTGCTACAGTTTAGGAGGAAGGGCTACTGGTATCTAGTGGGTAGAGGCCAGAGATGGTACTAAAACATCTTGCAATTTATAGGACAGTCCCCACAAGAATTAATCCAGCCCAAAGTGTCCACATAGACAAATCCTGTCCTATGGGTAAGGATGAGGCAGTGAAAAGGAAATACGGACTTAAGAATACCCAGGGACAGAATTAAAAGAGTTACAACATTTGATTGAGAATTTTTCATTAATAAATTCATTTTAAAGAAAAAAATTCTATATACTTAGAATTTTTGGTTATAGAGGTCAAAAGACAGCCTAATTGTGTCTTACTGAACCACCACAGAGATCTATTTATTTTCTTCATTAGAGAAAATACTCTATGTGCAAATTAAAGAAAAATGTAAAAGTTAAAAACAAAATAGTAGTTTTATCCTGTTATTTTCTTTTAGTTTTCTGAGATAAAACACTATTTTTAAAAATATTTTTTAAAAACCCCACTATCTTATCTAGAGCTTCTTCTGATCCTTAATGACTTGAGTTTCTACACCTATATTTATATGGTGTTGCATGTTTCAGTTTTTGTAACTTTTTAAAATTTATTTTTATATGGTACTGAGGATCCAACTCAGTGCCTCATACATGTGACACTAGTGCTCTACCACTAAGCTATAACCCCAGCCTCTGTAACTCTTTTAAAACATGCTTCCACATATTAGTATTTCTATATACTCTGTTTATGAAGAGAAAAAAGTATTGGTTATATTGTTAGCAATTATACTCTGTTTATGAAGAGAAAAAAGTATTGGTTATATTGTTAGCAATTGTACTGTCTCCAGTTTTTTACAATCATTACAATCATGAATAGCCTAGGCAAAGCCTGTAAAAAAGACTGTCCACTTGAATCCACACTTTTGCTACATGTCAAATTCTGTGGGTTTTGGTAACTGGTTTTTAACCAATGCTCCTCAACTCCTGCAACAAAATACACATTCAAGTGAGCCAACAAGTAACCTATAAAATATATGCCAAGGACCTGCCAAATAGATCTCTGTGTTGGTTCAGTAAGACACAATTAGGCTGTCTTTTGACCTCTATAACCAAATTACTTTTATTTCAAAGGCTGAAAGATACTTATAATTCTTGGGTGGTCACATAAGCTAGGATGTATTCTGATGCTAGTCACGTTAAATACTCAAATATCTGGTGAATGAGGTGGTTTCATTTCACAAGGAGTAGATATAAATTATGAAATTCAATTTTGGACAATACTAACCTCTTCTTTTTCCAAAAACTCCCTGACATCAGGGTCCTGTAACATAGTAGGGTGATTCACAACCCTTTGAAGGTACCTAAAGGGTAAAGAGTTATCATCTGGTTAGATGATCTGACCTCAGAAGGTTTTGGATAGTGCATTGCTAGCAGAGGCACCATATCTTTCACTACTTAAAATATTTGTCCTCAGAGAAGGTACACAAATAGGACATTGCTTATAAATACATTCAATTTCATGTTCTTCCCACTTCCAAAAAGGGACAATAAAAGAACTACTCAGAAAGAGACCAAAGAACCATTATTCATATTTGATTATTAAAGAAAATGAATATGATTGTTCATCAGGACGGAGACAGAAAAGAAGATGGTTTGTGCCCAAGAGTGCAAAATAAGAGATTTAGAAAAAGTCAGGGATGACATGTAGGTGTGACTCTTTTTTTTGGGAGGGGTATCGGGGATTGAACTTGGGCACTTGACCACTGAGCCACATCCCCAGCCTTATTTTGTATTTTATTTAGAGAGAGGGTCTCAATGAGTTGCTTAGCACCTCACTTTTGCTGAAGTTGGGTTTAAACTCACGATCCTCCTGCCTCAGCCTTCAGAGCTGCTAGGATTACAGGCACGCGCTAATGCACCCAGCAAGGTTTGACTCTTTAATACAATCAAATTTCATGGCTACTAACTCAAGCAAACATCTCATAATTAAGTCTCAATTTCAACTTCTTACTTGTTCTCAAGTTATTCAGAAACATGTTTGTATGGCACCTACCTTTCTAGAGCAGCCCTCCGTTTTTCAAGAAATTCTGCAGAGGAAGAATCTTCCTTCCCAACTTTTACTTTTGTCATTCCTAGAATGGAATTTAAAAAGCAAAATAACCAGAAATCATGAAAAGAATAAATCTATTTTATTTTATAGGTACTGGGGATTGAACCCAGGGAGATCTCTACCACTGAGCTCCACCTCAACCCTTTTCATTTTTATTCTGAAACAGGGCTTAAGGTGCCAAGGTTGGCCTTAAACTTGTAATCCTCCTGCCTTAGCTTCCCAAGTCATTGGGATCACAGGGCATGCCCACTGCCTTTGCCTGATAAATTATTTTAAAGTCACAAGGAGGAAAGGCCTCAAGGATAGCACTAAAAAACACAACCAAAACCCACTCTGTGTCATGAGCAGGCAAGAACAAAAGGTTCTTTACATCAGAGTTATTTTTTTTAAACTAGTTTTCAGGGCTATGGTTGTGGCTCAATGGTAGAGCACCTGTCTAGTAGGTATGAGGCACTGGGTCTGATCGTCAACACCACATAAAAATAAAGGTATTGTGTCCATCTACAACCAACCAACCAATAAATAAAGACACAAGACATTAACAAACTAAGCTAAAACCAAAGCACCCTATTGTACCCAAGGAAAGAGAACAGTCAAAATATGCTATTTCTCTAGACTTCAAGTGTTCTATTAATAGAAGTAGCCATATACTACAAAGTAAATTCATAATAGAAAGACAGTAAAGGAAAAAACCCAAAAGAAAGACCTCAGGCTTACCTATTAGGCTCTTCTCAGGTGGAGGAGGGACAATGAAACCATTCTGAGAGTGTTTCTCTGAAAGCTTCTCATAAAGACCCAGAAAGTCACTAAATCTTCTTTTCACTGCAAACTGTTTACTTCTGAACATTGGTAGGCTCGTCTTGGGTACAGAAAACACACAAGGTGATTTTATTCCAAATACAAGATGAATGAGTATCTTGAGAGCCATCCAGCTGACATCAAATGACTCCATTTCCCAGATCCTTGCCCTTTAGCCACCTAGCAAATAATTTTCTCTGAGGCACAGACATTCTTGTTTGAGCTATCGTCTACTTTGGCAGTCTGGACGCCTAAGAAGAACAGCTCAGAATAATGATTTTAAATGCAAAAAAAAAAATATAATATATAGGATTATAAAGGAAACCAACTAAATTCAAATATAGCTTCATTCCTAGATTAAGAATACTTGCTCTAAAGAAACAATGTTGAATTCTAATTTAAAGGCATAATTCTACTCTCCCCAATACTGAATTTATCCTTTACTGGTCTTCAATAAACATTTCATCCTTTATTGACTCATGTAATAAGGTATTAGTTGCTGGAATTAAAGCAGACAGGGGCTGGGGTTATGGCTCAGTGGTAGATTGCTCGCCTAGAATGCATGAGGCACTGGGTTCAATTCTTTTTTTTTTTTTTTTTTTGGATTCTGACATTTTAATTTCTTTTGAATATAAGTCACTTTTTCAAGCAAAGAAATAGAATCAACCTAAGGATGTGGTCCTCTAGGGATCCAAGCCAAGTCTTGAGATCTTCAGCAGAATGACACTATAGTACCAGGTGCTACCAATAGAGTTATACACTCTAAATAGCAACCACTTATCTTCATTTTTTTTCATTAGGGAACAGCCAAAAGTTCAGTCTTTAAAGGCATGATATATAGAACATCTTGATCTACAAAGGATAGAATGACCCAAATTATATGCAGGCCATCCTATTGGGAAACAAGATCAGAGCTGGTCAAGGATTGGTTATCAGAGACAGTGCTTATACTTTGAAAACTTACTCTGTGGCTCAAAAAATTCCTGGTTCCTGTCACTAAGAAACAAAGCAAAAAATATTACAGATGGAGCCACACCAACATGTGGTTTTAGGGAGGTCTTCCACCAGAATGTGAAAGTAGAGTTAAGTGTAGGGGATAAGATCTTTTGATATTTTAAAAATAAATTACTTAGTAACTAAGAAATTAGACATACCACACTCTTCCATTTGCTACAATAACAAATTGACAAAGAAGACTATTTAAAAGAAATGCTCAATATAAAGAGGGTGGGAATGGTAACACTTTCCACTACAGGATAATCTCCTGTTTTCCCAATTAGCATTGCTATTCTTCCATGATACATGTGGAAAAACTTGTTGAGTTTTGCCACGGCCAGATGAAAAACAGCGTTTCCTAATTAGCTAATTAAGCTCAATGAACATTTTTAGGATGGAACCATAAACTCTGGCCATTGTTTTGTCAAACATCTGCAAACTGCATAATTCCTCAGCCCTTAGCCATAGTTTCTGTTCAATATCTTAAAGCTGAGTTTAGTTCCACTGTGATTTGTCTCAGGGCTGAAGTGAGTGTTAGTCATCAAAGTCTGGAATGTCATCATAGGAGTAACCCCGGTAGCCTTTAGACGCATAGTAGGCGATGCGCAGATGGTAAAATCCTGGCAGGAACACCAGAATGCCAATAATCAGGACAGGAACGGCCCGGTCTGCCCCCCCTTTGCTAATGTAGCCTGACAGCAGGAGGGAGCCTATGATAATGAGAAAGGCGCCAATCAAAAACAGCACAGTGGCAAGTGCAATGGCCTTATAAGGGATCTTAGGAGGGCTTTTCTTAAACTGAAGGTCAATGTAGCCATCATCTGTGCTGGAGAGCCTTGAGTATTTTACTTTACTACTGGGGATTCCAGTAGCCAGATTAGTACGAGACGGCATCATAACACACGGACACAGCTACAGTCCGAGCACCGCGTTAAGACTGGAGCTAGAGAGGAACTCGCCCACGGGTACCAGCCGAGGCGTCCCAGGCCTCATGGCCTGGGTTCAATTCTTAGCACCACATAAATGTAAAATAAAGATATCGTGTCCACCTAAAACTAAAAAATAAATTAAAAAATAAATAAATAAATCACAGCAGGCAAACTAAAAAATGAGACTAATGAAAGAATGTTTCTAAGAGGGGTAGGGAGGAATCAGATGATATGTCTAAGCTGTAGACACTAACCTCTGTAGTGTCATGGGATCTCGAGCTCACACAAGACAGGCCAACAGCAGTAAAAAGACAATACAAAGGAGAGTGAGAGTAAAAAAAGGACTAACCAGAGATGTAAAATTTAATAAGGATGGCCTAGCCAATTGCTGGCAAGAAAGTAAATCGATGGGAGCTTTTATACACTGCTAATAGAAGTATTAATTGGTGTGTGTGTGTGTATTTTTTAATACAAATTGGGAGTTAACAAATGTAAAAAAGGGCTGGGGATGTGGCTCAAGCGGTAGCGCGCTCGCATGGCATGCATGCGGCCCGGGTTCGATCCTCAGCACCACATACAAACAAAGATGTTGTGTCTGCCGAGAACTGAAAAATAAAATATTAAAAAAAATAAAAATAAAAAATATTAAAAAAAAAACAAATGTAAAAAAAAAAAGTTTGTATTCCTTAAATTCAACATCTGCAGTACGTATGACAAAGGGAAACTATTCCTAGTTATGTACCCTAGAGAAACTCCTCCATGGGTATGCTAGAGACATGCAAGAAAGTACAGAGTTCATAGAAACAAAAACTGGAAACATGTCTCATGACAGGAAAACAGATATACTACCACACAATGGACTAACTACAGCTATGCCCTATAAGAATGGTTTTGAGAAACAATGCTAAGTTTAAAAGTACTATTTTCAGCATGATGTATGTACTTTCAATACTGGGGATTGAACCCAGAGCCTCATGCATAATAGGTGAGCATTCTAACACTGAGATACACCCCCAGCCCTTTTTATTTTTTACTTGGAGACTCAGTCACACTACATTTCCAAAGTTGGCCTTGAATTTGTAATTTTCCTGTGTAGCCTTCTGAGTAGCTGGCATGAGCAACTGCACATAGCATGATAGTATTTTTATGAAATTAAAAATGAAAGCAAATTGGTATATTATTCAGAGATACATATATAAAGATTATATTTGTTTGTTTATTTATTTAATAGTACTAGGGATTGAACCCAGAGGCGCTTAACCACTGAACTACATACTCAGCCCTTTTTATTTTATTTTTTTATTTTGAGACAAGGTCTCAGTAAGTTGCTGAGGCTGGCTTTGAACTTGTGATCATTCTGCCTCAGCCTCCCGGGCCAATGGGATTCCAGGTGTGTATCTCTGTGCATGGCAATTAAGATTTTTTATAAAGGGAAAAAGAGAACTCAGGAGAGTGGTCACCTCTAAGATATGAGGAGGAGACATGACAGGGAGAAACATGAAGATACAGTCAATGGTACTCTTCTTATAACTGGTTATATGTTCTAGGCTTAATTTTATTTTGCTTTATAACTTGCATAAACATTACATAAGTTTCATTTTAGTTTTATTTTTGAGACAGAGTGGTCTTAAACTCCCTGGCTCAAGTGATCCTCCTGCCTCAACCTCCTGAGTCACGGGTTACTGACATACACCACCATACTAGACTGTTATGCAAATAAAATTATATTAAATCTGCCATTCCAGGATCTATTGCTAAAATATATCTGTATATTAAAAAGTAATACCAGACTTGAAGGGGAAAAAAAAGTTAAAGTATTAAAAGCAGCTCTCTATTAAAAACCTAAGAAGAGCTGAGGTCTTTGTGGTGGTACTGAGGATTGAACCCAGGAGTGCTTTACCACTGAACTACATCCCCAGCCCTTTTAAATTTGTTTGTTTGTTTAAGACAGGGTCTTGCTAAGGTGATGAGGCTGACCTACAACTTGAAATGCTCTTGCCTCAGCCTCCCAGTCTCTGGGATTATAGGGATATGCCACTGCACTGGGCTCAACTGTTTTTTATTTATTTATTTTTTGTTTTTTTGTGGCACTAGGGATTGAACTCACATTCTAGGTAAGCACTCACACATGCTAGGCAAGCATACTACCACTGAGTTATGCCTCAGCTGTGCCCCCACCCCATCTTTTAAAAATTATTTTGAGATAGGGTCTCACTAAGTTGCCCAGACTGGTCTCCAACTTAGGTTTCTCCTGTCTCACCCTGCCAAGAAACTGTGATTACAGACATGTGTCATCATAACTGGTTGACCTCAGAATTTCTAAACAGGTAAACTACTCTTGGCTTGGGGAAGCCCATGAAACTAGCTCCACACCACACAGTTCCTAAGGGGAATGGGGATAAATCAGATACACGGCACATCTTAATAAAATTTAACAACATTTCACACTGAAATGTTAGACCTCTGGAATAATGATGGAAAGGCTCAGTGTGGAGTATCCAGATAAGGTTATCTTAGTATAAAAGGGGATTTCTAAACATGAGGGGAAAATGTGGGCAAAGAAACCAAAAGATACCCAGAATAATCTGAATGATGACCTTGGTATGAATGGTGCAGTAATAAGCAGGGTCACTGGGACTCACCTGTGTTGTAACTTTGTAGGCCACATAGGCATTCATACCATCCCCTGAGGAGAACAAGAAAGCAAGAAAGGATTATCCTTTAAACCAAAGCAGTGTAAATTCAGTAACATTTAACCAGGAATCATAAGCACAGGAACCCTACATAAAAAGGATTTGTTTTAACTCCAAGCTTTACATGTGATCCTAGAATCCAGTTCCTACTTCACCTCAGGGCCTCTATGGCACATATAATGCCCCCCACAGATGCTGGCTGGGCCCCAGTCTGAGTTAGACAAGAGAGTTAGCCTCCTGTTCCAAAACCAGGCTCCATTTATAACCTCCACAAAGCAGCACTGGATACTGACAATCCATCAGTTGTTACCATGCCAATATTTGGGCTGGTTACACACATCTGTCCAAAATCAAACAATTCTCTTGCTGTATAAAGCAAGAGGAGAAGGAAGCAACTGATGTAAAAGGAAACAAGTAGTTCTACCCTAGGCTAGCTCTGGGCTTGGTTTGCTCTTTCAGAAATACAATCATGGCCCCCTCCACTGGGACTGGGGGACACTGACCTCTCTGATCTAGCATATTCACCCAGAGTAAAGGGCCTGGCAGGAAGACACTTGGGCTGCCTGATGTCACAAAAATCTCCCTTTCCTGAGGAATTATTTTTATGAAAAAGCCTTTGATTGTTAAATAATCTGGGATTCAAGCAACTGTTTTTCTCTGTGGTAGTGTTCTGACCCAGACCACTTAGGGAGATAAAGGCACCATTGACTCCTTAAGCACTGAAAAGACATACATTGGAATCCACAGAGTCACAGCTCCAGTGCTGGACCATGGCATCTTGGGTTGGTTTTGTCCCCTTCCTCCCTTGTCCCTGGATTCCTCCCCACATCAAACAGGAAAGCCTAGGTTAATAATTAGTTCTTGCTTAAACTCCTGAATTAGTTCTGGGTGGGGGTCAGGGGAAGAAGGAGCAGTACTGGATCAAAAGGTCACATACAACAACTTGGTTTCAAAAAGATGGCTGGAAGTGCACAGAGAAGCTGGAGATTATACAGGACTAGAGGGCAGGCCTGCTCTATCTTCTCAACATCTAACAAATGAGTAATGTACAAAACAGAAATTAAGCTAATTTAAGCTAAGCTTTAGAAATTATTTTATGCTGATTACCACACCTTTAGTTCTCTTCTAAGCCATTTGTACTACGTTGCCTAATATTACTAAGGATATTCACCACTGGAAGGAAAAAAGCTAAATTTACTTTATAGAAATATATTCAAAATTTTATTCACTGTTGAAGTAGTTATGTTCCAATGTCCAAAAGGCCAGTTTCATAATTTAGTGCCAGCATGATCTTCAGATATTCTGCCTATGTGTCAGCCACTTTTACTAAGGTAATATGTGTGAAAAAAGACATACTGTTTACATATGGACAGAGTACATAAGATGTGGAAATGGGGTAATAATACAAGAGTCTTAAAATTTACATAAATTTCTTAAATAATTTCTGAGAAGTAAAAATGGCATATATAAATTACCAAGTTCTAAAAAGAGTATCCTGGTCAAAGTAGGATTCTAATTTCTATAGTGGTGTGTGGGCCAAAGAAGCACATGTTGAATACAGCCCATACGTAAAGTTTTGTTAAAAAATCAGACCCTGGGATATGGTTGTAGCTCATTGGTAGAGCACTTGCCTGGTATGTGTGAGGCACGAGGTTCAATCCTCAGCACCACATAAAAATAAATAAATAAATGTTTTGTGTCCATCTACAACTAAAAAAGAAAAAAGGCCCTAATATGAATATGTTTTAATAAGTTGGTTTCTTGGCATCACATGATTAAGAATCCAGGGGGATAAAAGATTATTACCAAGAGTGATTTGTGTTCAAATAAATTTAATCCATAAGACATTTAAATTATCCTACTGTAGGGCAAATTATGCCCCTCCAAAATGATATGTTGAAAGTCCTAATTCTTAGTACCTCAGCATGTGACCTTATTTGAAAACATGGCCTTTACAGATATAATCAAGTTAAAATGAGGACATCAGGGTAAGTCCTCCTCCAGTGTGAGTGGTGTCCTTATAAAAATAGGGAAAGTCAGATGAAGAGCTATACATGCATAAAGGAGAGATGATATGGAAACACTTAGAAAAAATGCCATGTGACAATGAAGGTAGACATCGGAATGAAATATCTACAAGCCAAAGAACACCTAAGGCTATAAAGATCTGAGAGAGAGGCATGGAATTAGACTTCACAAAATTTCTGCTTCTAGCTCTAAAAAAGACAAAAAGTTAGGAATTATATTTTTTCTTTTAATTATTACATTTGTCTTCTTAACCATATGAACATCACTCTTTGTTTAGGAGGACAAAGCTCTAAAATAGCCTTTTCTGTAAGGGACTATCTATACCTGGCACAAGGAAAGTCAAGGTCTATTATTTTCTGCTAATAACACTCACAAACCTGGGAGAGGGGAAAGTTATCCTAAAAATTCAAGTCTGGCCAAAGTTAAGTATTACCTTTTTTGAAAATCTAACTTTAGTTTGACCATGCTTAGTCTTTCATCTATGGGAAGAGGATGCCAACTTCCCCATCTCATTTAGAATACCAACGCAAATGACAAATGTTATGTATAGCAAAAGTTTCAAATTTCTTGAGGAATTTTATTTTTTAAATTTTACTTTTTAAAAATAAATATGGAATGCTTTGTGAATTTGCATGTCATCCTTGCACAAAAGCTATGCTAATCTTCTCTGTATCTTTCCAATTTAAGTATATGTGCTACCAATGTGAGCACCCATATCTCAGAATTCTAACATATATTTTAAACTACTTATATGGAATTTATGATCTAAAAATGGAGTAAAGGGTTGGGGCTGTAGCTCAGTGGCACAGTACTTGCCTAGCATATATGAGGCACTAGGTTCGATCCTAAGCAATGTATAAAAATAAATAAATAAGGGGCTGGGGGTGTGGCTAAGCAGTAGAGCGCTCACCTAGCATGTGGGAAGCCCTGGATTCAATCCTCAGCAAATAAACATTAAATATTTTTAATAAATAAATAAAACAATTATAAAAAATAAAAAGGGAGTAAATGGTCTTAGCAACTCTGAAGGAGAAGGTAATATTTGAGTTTTAAAAAAGGGATTCTAGGGGCTGGGATTGTGGCTCAACAGTAGAGTGCACACCTAGCACATTCGAGGCCCTGGGTTCGATCCTCAGCACCACATAAAGATAAATAAAATAAAGTATAAAAAATTATTTTTTAAAAAAAGGGATTCTAATAATATTTGATGTCTCCACTTTTTCTTCTTAAAGCACAGAAAAACTAAGTACTGCGTAACTGGTGTCTCTGGTCTTTGAAGTATAGCTAGGGTTATATTTTTACAGCTGGTTCGGCTCTGCAGGTAGCCATCCCCAAATTAGCTACCCACACTTTCTACCTGTCCCCATCCTAATATCACAAGGAGTCCCAAGGGCACTTACCTATCTTCTCCGGATCAGTAATACCAACTGTCAAATCAAAGTGATCCTCCTGTTCTTCTTCCTCTAGCTTTTTAAAGAAAAAATAAGTCATGCGAGTTGATGTGAAATTAATTTTATCCATTACTATATATCCATATAATAAAATAAAGATATACCTTTCTATATATACGTGTTCAGCTCTGTCCATTCCCAATAATTTCAGTGAACCAATGCCCACAATTTTAAGTTGGGAGCCAGTTCACAGGTCATTGTTACATCTATCCCCTTGAAATCTCATTTGGATGACAATGAATAACTACTAGATTTTGGAAGACTTGCCTCTTTCAGGCTAAGGAGGGAGTAAAGAAAGAAAGAAAGACTACATGAAAGCCTCTGTGCTGTCTTCTGGGTAACAGACCGTTTAAGAAAGGGTTCTTTACAGGATTCTAGCTGTCTATTAATCACAGCAGGTCTCCTTCAGGAATCATAAATGTTTTCTCAAGGTTTATACTCAACTAACTTCAAACTAGTGACAACACAGTCTAAAAATCCAAAAGCAACCAGACCAGTAGCACAGATTCTCACCTCCTCATAGCTTGGCTGGGGCTTAGAAGAATTTGTGGCTTCCTGTGGAGGAAGAGAAATGAGTGTTTTGGCTGGTACCGTCTTCTGATTATTTTGTGTGCTGTCCAGGGATAGCTCCACTGTGGCATCTGAAAACAGTTGATATTTTTAAATAAAGGTCAATAATGGGTCTTTGAAAGCTGAACTTCAGTTCAACAGCCTGACTCATAAGAACATCAGCAAGCACTCTTAAGTAAATACTTGGTGGCTCTCAGATTAAGAGAGCAAGAGTCACAAAATTTTACATGGATAAAAGGGAAAGAACATGAGGAAAGTGTTCTTTTAGCACAGCCTTATTAGTAGAGCAACTTCTCCTTTTTCCTTCCAACCACAACTACTTGGTCACACTCTCCCATCTAGAATTTAGTCAAGAACTAGGAATCAAGCCAGGAGGTGGGGCAGGCCTATAATTCCAGCTACCTGGGAGGCTGAGGTGGAAGGATCAAAAGTTCCAGGCCGCTAGGCAAACTTAAAAAAAAAAAGACCATTTCAAAATACAAATGTGAAAAAGAACTGTGATAAAGCTCAGTAGCAAAGCACTTGCCTAGCATGTGTAAAGCCCTGAGTTCAATCCCCAATACTGCAAACAAACAAACAAAAAAACGGATCAAGCAAAAAGATTCCATAGCCAAAATAAGTGTACTAATTAATTTTATTCTCAGGGGTATTCCTTTATAACCTGACATGAAGCCTATTTATCTCATTATAATTTTTTATAAAAGGACAATGTTTGGTTATCTGCTTTACAAATCAATGTGTAAGAAGAGGAAAGCATACTGACAAAAAAAAAAAAAAAAAAAAACAAACATCAAATGAGAGTCAGGAAAAATGTAAGCCAGAAAAAATGGACTCAAGATAACAAACAGTTATTAATATTCAGGAAAGGGAAGTCTGCTACACCTGAGGACATCATTGTTATTTTAACACTTAAGAATTGTTCAAAAATTATAGTTTAGATATCCTTATAAAGATTGAATTGCATTAAAACATGCATCCAAAGAGGAAAAAATTATACCTGTAATACCTAAAAATCTGTCTGATCTAAGTAGTGCTTAAGAGCTACTTTTGTCTATCTGAGAAAAACTCAGTTGAGCAGAACAACTCATTGTCTAAATGTTCCAGAGAGGGAACGTTTAAAATAGCATTATGTACCATTTTTAGACATTAAAAGTTCTTATGCAAATAAAAAAGGATGTACTTTCAACTTGGAGCAATAAAGCTAGATGTTCTAAACCTAGCTTTTGTTGTTGTTGTTCTTTTTAGTAAAGAAAAACATAAATATCATTCAGGTTTGGTCTGATCAGTAGATGTTCAATTCATCTTAGGAACTTCAAAGAAGCTATTTCTTTTCCTCTTTTAGATTTTCATTTGAAGCTAAGAAAAAAAACAGAGATAGGGATCCAGAAAACATAATCAAGTTCTAGGTCAGTGTGCTAATCATTAAATGTGAATCATGTGCCACATTGTTAGAAAAGAACCTGATCCCTATCAGGAAAGATAAAACAGTAGTAATATAATCTGACCATGGAGTAGGAGTATAAAACAGAAAAAAAATATACATAATGAACATGTTAGGTTGTCAGGAGTCTTTGAAACAAACAACCAGTGGAGTGCGTGAAGGATATTCCCATCATGCAGGTTCCACATAAATAATATATGTGTGTGTTTGGAAATGAAACAGACAGGAAGTGCTACTGCTAATTCAAAATGTTTGGCTTGAGTGCTAGTAAGAACCTTTTGAAAAGCTGTATATTTTCTATGGAATTCATGTAACAAAGATGCTCAAACTTACATTAAAATACGCTTTTTTTTCTTTGAACTCCTGATAAGAGTAATGGAAAAAGCCTTTGGGCTCCATAAGATTCTGATCATCACTAGACTAATGATGTAGAAAATATATCAGAACATTTAAATTTCTATAGTCAATATCATGTTGGTTCATGCCTATAATCCCACTTATTGGGGAGTTGAAGACAAGATTACAAGTTGAAGGCCAACCTTGGCAACTTAGCAAGATACAAGCTCAAAATTTAACAAGGCTGGGGATGTAGCTTAGTTGGTAGAATAGCCCTAGGTTCAACCTCCAGTACCACAAAAATAAAATAAATGACTAAATAAAACATCTGAGACGCTATTCAAGTCCTAAACTAAATGTCTCATTATAGACATTCCTTTTTTTTTTTTTTTGGGAACTGGGGGTCGAACCCAGGGCTTTGCGAATGCAAGGCAGACGCTTTGCCACTGAGCTACATCCCAGCCCTAGACATTCCTTTTTAGAAATATCTTATGTTCCTTTCTTAGTAGTGAGGCAGGTATTGGTTACATATAAAACTGGTAGGGGAATAAAGTAAATAAGAATCATTATGAGAGAGAGAGAGAATTTTTAATATTTATTTTTTAGTTTTCGGCAGATACAACATCTTTGTTTGTATGTGGTGCTAAGGATCGAACTCAGGCCACACGCATGCCAGGCGAGCGGGCTACCGCTTGAGCCACATTCCCAGCCCGATAAATGTGTTCTTAATAAAGATATCCACTATGTATAAAGCCTAGGCATGGGGATAAGTCTGTTACACTAAGATTTCAGGTCATCTTATAAGGAAAGCTCATACACAAGTTAAATTATCTCAAAGATAGAAAATTCACCTTTCCAATCTGTCATATAACAAAGAATTCATTATTTGCATTTATATCATTTCTCCTGCAGAAATTTTATAAAAAAAAATAATCACTGTCAAATGAATAGTGTGCACTTTTAAGTTTCAGAGATAAAAGAAGTGGAAAATCTTCTCAATCTTTGTATTTCTTCTAAACTCTTCTTCCCACTCATGTCTTTAAAATTTCCTACCAGATAATTATAATTTTGTGGGTTAGTCTCTGTGTCCTCTATTCTGTAACATTGGTCTACCAGTCTGTTTTGGTGCCAATACCATGCTGTTTTTGTTACTATTAATCTGTAGTATAGTTTAAGGTCTGGTATAGTGATGCACCTGCTTCACTCTTCCTGCTAAGGATTGCTTTAGCTCTTCTGGGTGTCTTATTTTTCCAGATGAATTTCATGATTGCTTTTCTATTTCTATGAGGAATGTCATTGGGATTTTGATAAGTATTGCATTAAATCTGTATAGTGCTTTTGGAAGTATGGTCATTTTGATAATATTAATTCTACCTATCTAAGAGCAAAGTAGATCTTTCCATCTTCTAAGGTCTTCTTTGACTTCTTTCTTTAGGTTTCTATTAATTTTCATTATATAGATCTTTCACCTCTTTCGTTAAGTTGATTCCCAAGTCTTTAAATTATCTTATATTAGACAAAGGTGCCAAAAACATGCATTGGAGAAAAGATAGCCTCTTCAACAAATGGTGCTGGGAAAACTGGAAATCCATATGTAACAAAATGAAATTAACCCCTATCTCTCACCATGCACAAAACTCAACTCAAAGTGAATCAAGGACCTATGAATTAAACCAGAGACCCTGTGTCTAATAGAAGAAAAAGTAGGCCCTAATCTCCATCATGTGGGATTAGGCTCCAACTTCCTTAATAAGACTCCTAAAGCACAAGGATTAAAATCAAGAATCAATAAATGGGATGGGCTCAAACTAAAAAGTTTCTTCTCAGCAAAAGAAACAATCTGTGAGGTGAACAGAGAGTCTACATATTGGGATCAAATCTTTACCCCTCACATATCAGATAGAGCACTAATCTCTAGGGTATATAAAGAACTCATAAAGTCAAACACCAAAAAAACAAATAGTTCAATCAACAAATGGGCCAAGGACCTGAACAGACATTTCTCAGAAGATGATATAAAATCAGTCAACAAATATATGAAAAAATGTTCATCATTGCTAGCAATTAGAGAAATGCAAATCAAAACTACTCTAAGATTTCATCTCCAGTCAGAATGGCAGCTATTATGAATACAAACAACAATAAGTGTTGACAAGGATGTGGGGAAAAAGGTACAGTCATACACTGCTGGTGGAACTGAAAATTGGTGCAGCCAATATGGAAAGCAGTATGGAGATTTCTTGGAAAATTGGGAACGGAACCAGCATTTGACCCAGCTATCCCTCTCCTGGGTCTATACCCAAAGGACTTAAAAACAGCATACTATAGGGACACAGTCACATCAATGTTTATAGCAGCACAATTCATAATAGCCAAACTGTGGAACCAACCTAGATGCCCTTCAATAGATGAATGGATAAAAAAAAAAAATGTGGCATTTATACACAATGGAATATTACTCAGCAATAAAAGACTAAAATCATGGCATTTGCGGTAAGTGGATGGAGTTAGAGAAGATAATGCTAAGTGAAGTTAGCCAGTCCCAAAAAACCAAATGTTGAATGTTTTCTCTGATATAAGGAGGCTGATTCATAGTGGAGTAGGGAGAGGGAGCATGGGAGGAATAGACTAACTCTAGATAGGGCAGAAGGGTTGGAGGGGAAGGGAGGGGACATGGTGTTAAAAATGATGATGAAATGTGATGGTCATTATTATCCAAAGTACATGTATGAAGACACGAATTGGTGTGAATACACTTTGTATACAACCAGAGATATGAAAAATTGTGCTCTATATGTGTAATAAGAATTATAGTGCATTCTGCTGTCATATATAAATTTAAAAAAATAATAATTAAAAAAAAATTTCCTACCAGAGTTCTAATGTGAGAGTCCTCTTAAGATCTTGCCCTTCAACCTCTTGTATCTCCCCCTGCTCTCTATTCTCTCCTTTTAGGAATCTCATTTACATGGCAATTTTGACTACCACTTCTAGGAAGAAGATTCCCACGTTTCCAATTCTTTTCTCTTTTCTCTTTCGCAGGTGAAAAAAAACTCCTTGGGTATTTCTCTTTGCATTCCAAAAGACTTAAAATATTTGGTATTTAAAATACCAAAACCCAAAACTAACTCTTCCCCTAACTCCAGTTTTTTTTTTTTTTTCCTTTCTTCTTCTTCTTCTTTAGAATTTGGTTCTTAAAATGATACCATCTTGTCAATCCTTGGACTTGAACCATTTGATTTGGTCCTTAGCCTCTCTTTCTTTTTTGACATCCATTACATCCAAAACTGACACCAGATTTCTTTTCCTTTTGAAAAGTTTTATCTTTTCTTGACTACTTCTATCACCTTATGTTGGTCTTTGCCATTTCATTCTTGAACCGATTTTTAACCATCTTCTAAACAGCCTCCTGTTTTTGTCCACTGCAACTCATTTTATATAATAATTTCTCTACATCAGTTTTCTAAAACATTACTTTGCCCATATCACATTTGTTACCTAAAACTACCAATGGCTCTTAATTGACATTAGGATGAAAATTCAAACCCAAATTACTGATGTGTAAAGCCCTCCTGAACCTGTTTCTTTCTTTCTTTCTTTTTTTTAATATTTATTTTTTACTTATAGGTGGACACATCTTTATTTTTTTTTATGTGGTGCTAAGGATCGAAACCAGGGCCTCATGCATGCTAGGTGAGCGCTCTACCTCTGAGCCACAATCCCAGCCCCGCCTAAACCTGTTTCTAAACAACATTTCCAATCTATCTTCCACGGCTTCTCTTAAGAAACAATTTAAACATGAGTTAAATTATTAAATAATAGAGGAAGGAATGATAGAAATACAAAATCACAAAAGCTCATAAGAATAAGAGATCACATGAGATTATTGATTATAGCAGTAGTTTTCTTCTTTTTTGGTGTGTGTGTGTGTGAGTGTGTGATGCTGGGGACTGAACCCAGGGCTTTGTGTATGCAAGGCAAACACTCTACCAACTGAGCTATATCCCCATCCCTATAGCAGTGGTTTTAGACTCTTATGACTCCCACTAAGAAATTTTGTGTCATCATCCAAAATACATGTACAAAACTGAAACAAACGATTTAGGTAATTTGCCCTTCTAATAAAATCTGATTCTTAATTTAATGTCCGTCCCTTAATTATGCTTTATACTTCCTGTCCAATATTTTTTTCTCCTACTCTCCCAGGAAGTCTTCCAAGATCACGCTAGACAAAACAGTTTCTATGTTGGTATTACTGACATTCTGGATTTAACAATTTTTTTGTTGTAAAGGGCTGTCCTGCGCATTTTAGGGTGTTTAGCAGCGTCCATGGCTTCTACCAACTGGATAACTGTAATGCATCCAATTATGATGATTAAAACAACTCCATGAACTTAGCAAATGTCTTCTGGTAGGCAAAATCAATCCCAGTTGAGAACAGAGTAGTCTTCCTCAACAAAGATCTATCTAGCTCAAAATATTAATAGGATGAGAAAACCTACTGTATAGTAGTGGTTTTTATATTGCAAGTTGTAGCTTATTGGATTATGAAATAATTCAAGGGGTTGTAAAGAACATTAAAGAAAATGTATGATATGTCAAGATCATTATATTGTCTTGAGCAACCAATAAAAAAAACATTAAAGAAAAGAGAAACAATAGAAAATTTTAGACTTTATTAGAAGGTCAAATTACTTAAATCTGTTGTTTCAAGGCTGGGGATGTGACTCAAGTGGTAGCGCACTCGCCTGGCATGCGTGCGGTGCTGGGTTCAATCCTCAGCACCACAGACATATAAAGATGTTGTGTCCGCCGAAAACTAAAAAATAAATATTAAACTCTCTCTCTCTAAAAAAAAAAAAAAAAAAAAATCTGTTGTTTCAGTTTTGTACAAGTACATATATTTTGGACTATGACACAAAATTTCTTACTAGGAGTCTTGGTCATAAGAATCTAAAACCACTGCTACAATCAATAATCTCATTAAATCTCTTATTCTTATGAGCTTTTGTGATTTTGTATTTCTATCACTCCTCTATTATTTCTATTATTATTTAATAATTTAACTCATATATTTATGTCTTACTCCCTAAACTTGTAAGAATTTTGATGGAAGGGAATATATTTTATTCTGGAATCTTCCACTACAGTATCTTACATAAAGTTATGTTGCTAATACCATTTTCAATTTTAAAAAAGCTATTTAGAAGGTTCAATTTTGAGTCCATACTTGCCTGCAAAGAGATCCTGTGGCTCCTGGTCTTGTTCTTCCTCAATCCCATTTTCTTTGGAACCATTGTTGATGGGAAGAATAGATGCAGTTCTCTTTGGAGACTGGGGTTTACTCTGAAAACAGTGAGATACTCTGAATAAAACAGACTTATTAAAAACAAATAACATGCCTAGAAAAAATTTTTTTAATACAATCCCTCTGTCCCTTGGTTGTTTCCCCAAGTGTTTTAGGGGACAACAGGATCACTTGTCAGCTAGTTCAATTAGCAGCAAAACATTAATAGTAATGAAAGTACTGCTACTCAAATGATCACAGAGCTAATATAGGTTCATATAATTCAGGTTTAATTTCTAAAACTATACCCTTGCTGAAATGCCCTACCCCAAAGTACGTAACAACAATGGTGTGTGTAAGCACAGATAATTTTCAAAAGAATCTGTCCAAATGCATTTCTCCTTCTCCGCTGAAGACTTTTATTCTTTCAAATGCTGATGAGACACATTCTAGTGACCAGGACACACTACTCTGGAGTCCAGAATTCAAGCTCTGACCCTGGTTTACTTTTGTAGTGTTGTCTAAACTGTTAACTGAAACTCACTTGTGTTAGATGTTACTAACCCACATGACAGGCAAAGCAAGGTATACACTTTACATCTAATGCTGTTGGTGAATATAACTTCTTTTTTCATCCTTCTCACATTCACAAAATTTTCATCCACATTCTCTCAGGCTAGGAGAATAAAAACCAGTCATGCTTGGCCTAGAAGGCACATGGTGAAAATACAGTCAGTACATGGCCTTTAGTAAACGAGGCAAACAAGGGTGGGGTGGATCCCCAGACCGGTACCAGAGGGAACAAAGCCGGATTGTGCAGCACATGAACAGAAAGCTGGGAATCTGGCTTCAAAAGCCTATCATTGTGGAAATGCAGGGTTTTGAAGTCAGACCCTAAGGCTAAATCAGTTAAAAGACCTGAAACTTTTATGAAACATGTCCTTAACAAATCTGAGGGATTTGGTTCCTTGGAGACAAGACCTTTTCTGACCCAACAGAACAAAGTGAAAAGACATCTATTTGGGTACTTTGAATTTTTCATGCAAACAGCTTCGTCACCATAATGGGGCCACCCTCTAGGAAAGAAACTGTTACCAATATTTAGATTTATATTAGTAAATAATGTCCCTACTGCAACTTTTCTATGTTAATAAAGTTTAACAAGGTGCTTAGTTGTATATGTCTACATGTTATACCAAAAGTGGGTCCTGTCCTCTATCTGCTTCCACAATCTTCAAAAACAAAACAAAACAAAACCACTGTCTGCTGGACATGATGGTGCATGCCTGTAGTACCAGCTACTAGGGAGGGGGAAGCTGGAGAATCACTTGAGCCAAGACACCAGACTGGACAACAAGTGCAAGAAGATCCCATCTCAAAAAAAAAAAAAAAAAAGAAATCACTACAGAGAGAAGATAAATAACTGGGTAAAAACAAAACTAGAACTTCCCTTTGCCTCATAAACTGCCAACCACCTTCCTACACAACCACTTCCTTCCTTCACTCTTATACAGTACAGTGACTTCATAAGCCACCTTTTGTACTGTTGTCTAAACTGTTAACGGTCAGTCCACTTTCCACTGACCAATCATCTCCAGATGAAGATCCAGGAGAGATTAAAACCCAGTACACAGTAAGAATATATGTATACAAATGTAATTTACTAGTAGCTCACAAGGGAAACTAAAGTAACAGGAAAGTCAGTAAAAATTTAATCACTTTTAAAAATGCCTAAAAGAATCTATTCCTGTGATATGCAGATGAATAAAGCCAGCTTTCCACTTCTGACCTATCAACTAATCTTGGAAGTAACATGACTAAGAATGCTTTATGAAACATTATTAGGATAGCAGTCTGTCACAGTGACAGATGGAGATGAATGGGATACACAGGGACAACTAGAGCATTAGCACCTGTCTTTTCTCCCTCCACCCAGCCCCCTTCAATCCCAATCCAGTAAGTATGACTAGAACTATGATTTTAAAAAAGATGTGTGCTCCCTCAGTAAGCTAAGTAACTGTGAGACTCAAAACTACTCTCAGATCTCCCCTGGGAGCCCATTCCCAAAACCACACAGTTAAGTCCTAAGAGAGCTGAAGATAGATTGATTACCATACCTATTACCTTAATCTTCCTCAGCAGTTCTTTTGCAAAATTAATCTTCTACAAATGTAAAACTCTATGTCCTGTTCTTCTCCCTACATTGTTTTCCCTATCATTAATAATTGTAGGGCTGGGGGTGTAGCTCAGTGGTAGAGCACTTGACTGGCATGTATGAAGGCCTGGGTTCAATCCCCAACACCAAAAAGAAAAAAAAATTGGGGGATGAATAGCCCAAAAGAAATTCTGGTCATTTGGGAGGCTGGTAATGTGGCTCAGTGGTACAGTACTTGCCTTGAACGCAAAAGGCCCTGGGTTCAATCCCAGCAATACCAAAAACAACAACAAAAGTACAAAAATCCTACTTTTAGTGACTTTTTTTTTTTTTTTTTTACCAAGATTGAACCCAAGAGAGCCACATCCCCAGCCTTTAAAAAAAATATTTTATTTAAGAGACAGGGTCTCACTGAGTTGCTTACGGCCTCACTAAGTTGCTGGCTTTGAATTCAAGATCTTCCTGTCTCAACCTCCCAAGTTGCTGGAATTACAGGCATGCCCACCCCACCCAGTATGACTTAATTCCCTATTATGTGGATATATCCCAACATAATCATTCTCTTAAGGTTGGACAGTTAACTAGTTTTCAGGTTTCATCAAATAATGTTGTGATCGATGCCATCTTGAATATAAGTCCACATTTGATTTTTAGGGGCAATAGACTGCTGGCCATTTGAATCCTCATGGCTTATCTTAATGTCCTTTGCCTGTTTTTGTATTTAAGTTAACATCTCTTGGGTGCACTTTTTTGTTTGCTTTTGTTGTTTGATGTTGCTGGGGATGGAATCTAGGGTTTTGTACATGGCAAGTGCTCTATCACTGAGCTACATCCCCCATCCACTTTTCTTAAATAATATGCTAGCCCTCTTTCTGCCATATTGTACAATATCCCTCCCAACTTTACTTCTTTTCATATTTGTTTTACTTTTGTTTGTCCTTATCAAATGTACTTTCAGTTGATTTGGACTGGCACTGGACAAACTAAGCTTCTTTCTTTGGCTGAAGAGTACCCAGCACCCAGCCTTCAAGCCATAATAATATACTCAAGTTTTACTTACAATCAAATTTTTTAAAAAAAAACCTAACTGGGTATAACCACTTTTAAGATAAGAAAAAGGACAAATGTTCATGGCATCCCATATTCACCTAGGCAAACAAGTTTTCCATGAGACTAGAGTCTATAATAATAACTTGTCATCAAAATACATACCCATCGAGGCATTATAACAATGCATTTCATATGCCATGTCTAAGGTTAAAAGGCTATTTAAAAATTAGTATTAATGATGTAAAATATATATTAGAGTGCTAATTTTTTAATTTGTGCATTATAATTATACATAATAGTGGGGTTTGTGATTCAATATTTGTATATGCACACAATATAACAATATAATTTTTAACAATATAATTTGGTAAAATTTCATTCTCTTATATTTCTTCTTTTCTTCCTCTCTTCTCTCCCTAGTCTCCCTTCCATTTTAGAAAGCTAATTTTGATTCAACAATTAAAATTCCAGAACGAACTTATTTTGGGAGAAAGAAGACACACTGATTACACTGAGTGGCAAATTCAAGACTAAAAATAAGCCTTGCTTTATAATACACACACACACACACACACACACACACAATGGTACTGAGGATTGAACCCAGGGGTGCTCAACCACTGAGCTACGTCCCCAGTCCTGTTTTGTATTTTATTTAGAGACAGGGTCTCACTGGGTTGTTAAGTGCCTCACTAAGTTGCTGAGGCTGGCTTTGAACTCGCAATCCTTTGCCTCAGCCTCCCGAGCCACTGGGATTACAGGCATGTGCCACCATGCCTGGCTTTATTATCTATATTTTTAAAACCTCTAAATTCTAGGCAACAGATTAAAAGTTTGTTTGTAATATAGTAAGTAAAGCCCCCAAACTGCCCTATTTCCTCTTGCCTTTTTTTTTTTTTAATATAAAAGCATTCTTTTTTGTTAGTAGATAGAATTCCTAGGTAAGATATCCAACATTTGCTTTACTGCCTTTGGTTGTTAATTCTAACAGGTGGTTCCACTAATAAGCCTATTTAAGAGTGCAGATACTTCTGTTTATAATTATAAGAACACACAGACAGACCAACACTAATTTGCAGACAGGTATTAGATGTTATAGCAAGAGAACACATTTGTTAAAAGCAAATGGGTATTTCTCAACAATTACTAGCCTCAACCTATGAGGCCCAGACCATTAACACTATTTTCTCAGCTCAGGGAAGGACAGATGTGGGCTTGTTGCCCTTCAAAGCTGACACAGCCATTCAGAACCAAAAAGTCCTGCTGTGATTCAGGGTAACTTCCCTTTAGGTTAACCAGTTGTGGTTCTTCTTTATGTTGCCAATTGCTCTTTGCTTCACACAGAACCAGTGCATTACATTCAAGAGATCTCAAAAGGGTAGGTATTGTCAAAACCCTCAGTGTCTTAGAGGTTGAATGTATATTAAATGTTAAGGTAACCCTGCTTCTAGGACTAGATATCATTTTTTGGAAAGAAAATTAGTACAATTTAGTAAGGCAAGATGGAGTTAAGGAATTGTGTGATCACACTAATGTAACAAGGCAAGAAAAATTAGAAATAAGTCAATGACAGGAACTATACCCTGATGATAATAGGGCAGCCATGCAGTCTTTAAAAATTGACCCTGGCAGATTGCAGCAATAAATACAGCTCCTTTTGCCATCTTTACTGATAGAAATGAATGAAATGGTTAGTATATTTTATTGGTATTGTAACAAATTATCAAAAACTTAAGTTTAAATAATGCAAATTTATCACCTTTTAGTCTCACAAAAGTCCAATACAGGTTTCACTGTATAGGCTAAAATCAAGATGGATTGGGGCATTCCTTTCTGGAGGTTCTAGAGGGTAAT